CCAGCCCCTACAGAAATATTTTTTGTTGTTACTTTAAGCTAGTCATGAATTCATCATACCATTTTCTCTAGGATCCTTCCAACAAGGACTAATGCTCCCCCTAAATTCTGAAAAACTCACCTGTTTTTCTTCCTCACTACCCATGCTCTGTCTGCTGAAATGGTGAAGAAAGTAGGAGAAAAAACCCTCAAGCAATACTAAGCAAATTCACTGCTTATAGAAAAACTCCATCTTGGACTTCTACAGAAACATTAAAATCCTACCCCACTCCCAAGAAAACGGGTACTTGTTTTGTGGAGACACTACAGCTGATCCCAATGAACATTTTCTCCCCCACCTGCCCCCTAAATAGCATACAGCTGTAGTCACACCTCTGGACAGCCCCCCCTCCTTTTGCTTTGTGAGGCAGCAAACAAATCCCTGTCCTCAGCTGAATGGAGGACTGGGATGTATGGTAGCCAGTTCACACTGGAATGTGGTCACTGGGAAAGGAGCTACAGCTGCTGTACTTTGATGCTCCCTCCTCCTTCCAGAGGGTTGTGCTCAGGCAGCCACCCCTGTGGGTGGCAGAGCATCAGTGTTAGCAACCTGGCTATCAAACAGCCTCTTCTCTCCTTCAGGTGCTCTGGAAAATTTATGTATCCATTTATTTTACTATCAGAGAGTAGAATTTTACCTTAACAGCAGCCAAAAAATGCAGCAGCATGCATTAAATCTGCACTATTAGTTGAGACACCTCAGCTTCACAGAACGTTCTCAGACTGCAGTGGCCCAGCCCAGGCAGCCAGCGGTGCTGAGCCCAGAGCATACTCTGGCTGCCAGTGGTTCTGTGCTGGGTCAAGCATGCAGACAGGCAGCACGTGGTTCCTCATGCTGGGAGACCCAGGGCTTTTCTCCTATTTGTTGCTCTCTGCAGGGGCGTTCTTGGCAAGGAGGGTGAGAGCGCAGCACCCTCACTCACAACTGCTCAGCAAACTAAGCAGACTTCAGCCTTCAGTAAAATCAAAGCTCTGGCTTTGCTTCAGCTATGCGTGGAGAGGGGGTGCCTATAGAAAGGAATTAGGGCTTGAACACAGAGTAAAACCAGAGCAGAGCAAAACCTTCAAATCCTGAAATCGCATGACTGAGCTTTCCTAACCATGCAGCGAGCATGTTGCTGTACCAGAGCCTGTTCCCATCAGAACACCAGGCTCATAAGTACTTTAAAGCTATTTAAAAAAGAGTACACCATCAAAAAAATACCTAAATTCAAATGAAGCAGGTGAAAAACTGTGCTGAAGTTTTAAGAGCAGGCCAGTGATAAGTTTCAAGGAAGAGAGACAGGGGCAAGGAAGCCACTCACCATGATAACAAAACCCTTTCTGTTGACCTACGTAAGGAAAGAGCCACCAGTAATTTAGACAGGAAGTTTTGTACTGTTTTCTTTAGTGGAAAGTGGGATTTGGAAAAAAATCCTTAAATCTTTCAAGATCAGAATTATTTATTTTCTCCTGAAAATAAACACAGAATTCATTTCTGGAAGTTAGTTGTCACCCCTAAAAATCTTGACTATTAAAATCATTGTCTGTGTTCATATTGTAATAGTGGCTGTACAATTATGGTTGACTCAAAAGGAAAATTTCCACTTTTTCACCTTATCTCATCCCTTGTATCCCACAGAAGAGTTGATCACTTATTAGCCAAACATCACGGACTCAGGGAACAAGAAGAGTTTAGAGGGATTAGAGGCAATGGAGCAAAACAATGTGCTCCAGTTTGCACTTCTGGCTCACAAATGTGAGCATCAGCCCTGCACCTCACAAAGAATCAGAAAGAAAACAGGCACCCCAAAAAGCCATTTGGCATCATAAGGTTGGAAATATTTATGGAGACATGTCTGTAAGTGATACTATGGAAACACAACTCACTTCCTGAGAAAGTAGTAACTGGGGAAGGGCAGGGGGGGACGACTTTACAAAGCTTAAAAGACTGTATTTTACTCTTTAATCCTCAGTTATACACATGACTTCATTGTGGAAAGGTTGCCAGACAAAGGAGTTCAGTGAACTGGGTCTGAAGGGAGGGATTGTGTGTAGGTCTCAGCTCTGCTCTTGCAAACGTTCACCTAAATGGCACAGCCATCTGCCCCAGCGAAGGGCGAGCCCTGTGCTCCCACAGTCCGGCACAGGGACCCTGGGAATCAGTGGGAATAAACAAAATTGTCACAGCAGGAAAAAAGATACGGGGTAAGCTTAAAGTCACCTTCGACCTCCCCAGACAGCCCACGGCACCTGGGGCGTCACGGTCAGCGCCCTGCTCCAGGACCTCACCCGTCATCGCCAAAACCTCCCGCTCTCCCCCAGACACAAGGCAGGACAGGGCAAGGGCTCCCCTGGGCCCGTCAGACGCAGCCCCAGGGAGCGGTGGGACCCTGCGAGGGGTCATGGGACCTGAGAGGGGCGGCGGGACACCTCTCAGGGGCGGTGGGACCTGAGGGGGCAGTGGAACCCCGCGAGGGGCGGCGGGACCCCTGAGAGGGGCGGCGGGACCCCTGCGAGGTGTCATGGGACCTGAGGGGGCAGTGGAAACCCTGAGAGGGGCGGTGGGACCCCTGAGAGGTGTCATGGGACCTGAGGGGGCAGTGGAACCCTGAGAGGGGCGGCGGGACCCCTGAGAGGTGTCACGGGACCTGAGGAGGCAGTGGAACCCCACGAGGGGCAGCGTGACCCCTGAGGCGGACACGTCTCCTCAGCGGTACCCGCGGGGCGGGGGCGGGGCCGTGAGGGCAGGGCGGGGTCGGGAGGGCGCGGCCCCGCGTGACGCTCGCGCCCGGCGCGGCCCGCGCTCAGAGCGGCTGTGGCGGGGCCGGGCGATGCGGGCGGCGCGCGAGGCGCGCGGCGCTGGTGGTGCTGGCGGCGCTCGCGGGCTGGGTGGCGCGGGCACAGCGGCCCGGCGGGAGCGCGGGTACGGCCCTGAGGGACCGGCCCGGCACGGCGGGACCCACCCGAGCCCCGGCCCCGAAAGGTGTCGGCACGTGTAACGCTTTCTGTGCTCGCATTTTGCAGAAAACGGCACGCGCTGCGTCCTCCCGTCCTCATCGGAGTTTCCTGAAGGATTTTTCACGCCGCAGGAGAGGAAGGATGGAGGGATCGTTATCTACTTCATAATTATCCTGTACATGTTTTTGGCCGTGTCCATCGTGTGCGATGATTACTTCCTACCCTCCCTAGAGATCATCAGTGAATGTAAGTGACATCCTGATCTTTTCCCTGTAAAACTTGAGCTTGGTTCTCAGTTCTCTTTAAACATTCTCTTAAAACATTCTCTTTTAAAAACCTTCAAAGTTTGAGTGCTCTGAAACCAAACTAAGCAAGCTTCAGTCTTTCTGCAGAGATATATCAGTACAGTATTTAATTTGATACACAGGATCAATATTGAAAAAACCTACTCCAATTAAACTGCACAGGTATTCATTTAGTATTTGCTTTCTTTCTGACTGAAGGAAGATCTTAACACTTCCTCAGTATTAACTAAACTGGCAATGTAACTTTGGGGTGCACAGCAGCATGTCCAGATTACTAGTAAAAGGGAAAAAAAAAAAAAAAAGTATGGGGGAAGGCTGGTGTGTGGAACCAAACGAAGAAACCAAACCTCTCCCTGTATTAGAACATAGGAATTTAGCACCTTCCTAGAGCTTCTTTCTATGAAAGTAGTGAACAAGTATCAGGATGAGCTACTGTTTACATATTAAAGGTATGACACAGGAAACAAAGGAATACTGTGGTTACAATGGTTCTCTGACATCTAATCAACCTGTATCAATTCCCCTGGCTTCAGCAGACCACTGAATTAAAGAGATGGTCTTGGCTGGGAATTCAGCTTTTCTCTGCCAGGAATTAAAAAAATTCCTAGGGGAAACTCGTCCCTGAACACTTGAAAACATTCTCCAAATCAGAACACTTACAGAAAATGTAAGCTTAAACACTGCTGTAGAGCTGATTATTTTTTTAATTGATGATAAATAAGCATTTGCCAGACTCTCTCCATGGTTGGCCAGAAATCCCTCTTCTTTTGTGGAGGACTTGATCCCCAGAGTGAGTTACATTTCAGAAACAGTCAACTTACCAGGACAAAAATCTCATTTCTTTCAAGCAAGACACAGGCTTTTATACTGTCCATACAAAGGGACAATTTGATTTTAAGATTGAAGCACTAATTTGCATGTAACTAGTGTTTCTGGTATGTGAAGATGCAGTAATATAGATTTCCCTGGAAAACAGATGATAGACTTGATATGCATCATGTAACAATATCACACCAGTCCATGGAATTTCCCCACAATTATTACCCATAAGAAACACAGTTAAAGCCTGCATACAAATGCCTATGTTACAAGAGATATGCACATGATCTCAAAATTCATTATCAGTACCTCTTTTCTGGTATTTAAACTAATTTCTGTAGCAAAGTTAGAAATAAACTAGCCCAGTAAATGAGGCTAGTTTTCAAGATATCATTTGATGAATCTCAAATAAATGCACTGACTGTACAAAAGTAATGGAAGTTCATTCTATTAACCTGTAGTAGCATCTAACTTTATATACTAATGCAAGTAAAGGGTAAGGCTACTGAAGTATCAATTCTGCTCTACACGCAGGCCTTGGCCTCTCTCAGGATGTGGCTGGAGCAACCTTTATGGCTGCTGGAAGCTCTGCTCCAGAACTTGTCACTGCTTTTCTAGGTAAGAGACATATGTTTTGACTTCTTAGAGCCTAGAATTCTTTTCCTTGCATGTTGAACTGAAACATACCAGAAAGTCATTTTCCTTATAGGAGCTTTCGTGACAAAGGGCGATATTGGCGTCAGCACCATCCTTGGATCAGCAATCTATAATCTTCTTGGTATTTCTGCAGCTTGTGGACTGTTTTCCACTGTGGTATGTATCAACTTTGACAGTTCCGCTCCAAAGAGCCGAGCAGTTCTCTATTCTTATTTTCCAAGAAAAGCCAAGGGAGACTTACTATGACAACTGCCAAGTTTATTATTTAGTAGCAAAACCAGCATGTAATCAGTTTTAAGATAACTTGCTATGAAAGTTTTTAAAAACACTAACTTGTTAAATATCATACTTAAGTCATTCCTAAGAATCTTAAATTTTTACATAATATAGAAACAACATATCGATGCAGCATTTACAGCACTTAGTGAAAGTATTACAGAGAGGTTTAAGAAAAGTAAATGACTCTGATCTGCAGGTTTCCAGGCTATCCTGTTGGCCGCTGTTTAGAGACTGTCTGGTATATACAATCAGTGCAGCAGCAGTCCTTGCGATGATCTCTGACAACAGAATTTACTGGTAAGAGCACAAGTTGTGTTGAATTCATTTTGACTGGAGATTAGCGAGACAGTGTTTTGAAAAACAAACAAAAACCCCCAAACTTCAAGTAGCCTGAACTGCCATTCACTAACAGAAATAAACATCCTGTTGGCTTTAAAAAACAAAGTCACAATGCTTGTAAAGATTATTACCTAAACATTCAAACCCTGCATATTTATAAAATTTGATCTGCATAGGTTTGTCTGTACAGACTTCACAATTTCTGTCACAACTGTTCTGGCATAGCAATTAGTGTTCATCATTTACTCCTTTTGAGCCTTTCCTTTCATAGCAGAATTGTTCACAAAAACGTTTGTCTGCCAGATGATCATGAGTTTATGATGTTGTAACTCTTCCATCAACACCAAAACTCTTGTTACCTCAAAAAGACAGTCAGGTCCAGCACTAAATCTCTTGAAGTTTCTAAGTTAACCATCACATGAAGACTCAGTTTTGCAAACATCAGGAAGATGTTCAGTCAGTAAGATTCCCTGGGAAACATGCAGCTATACAATACACAATAAAGATTCTGCAGAGGAGGGGAATTAATCAAACTGCTGAAAGACATGGGGACACTCACAAACTTCCATGACATCAGCCATACAACTGCAAATAAGATGCTTTTGTATGTTTTCCTTTTGCTACTCATGCAAATTTTCTCTCTCTACTTATACCAGTCACTGGGTTCTTTTATACTACATGTTACATAAAACCTGTTTTTCATTCTAGGTATGAAAGTGCATCCTTGTTATTGATATATGGGTGTTATATTCTGATACTGTGTTTTGACATTAAAATCAACCAATACCTCATGAAAAAGTTCAGTCCCTGCTGTACATGTTTTACAAAAGCTATGGAAGAGAATGCGGAGCAGCAGCCACTGGTTGGATGGAGGGAAGAGAGTGGACCTCTAATCCGTCAGCAGTCAAGGACAGACAGTGGAATTTTTCAGGATGAGCTGGACTACTCTCACCTTTCAACAAGCTTACATGGGCTTGATGAAATCTCTGGAGGTACAAGCACTATTACAGCTGTCTCTAGCACTCTGCATGCCTGTCTGCATCAGTTCTAATCAAGAGCAGATTCTGAGATAGTTTTAAGATTTTGTTCACAGAAGAACTCCAGCATAGTATTTAAGTAAATAATATTCTAACCTGGAATATAAAATTAAGCAAAATTGGACTAGTGGTATTTATATGAAGTTAGTTGCTAGAGGAATGTAAGGATAGTTGCTCATTTTTGTCTTATTAGAACTTCTATCAGTCTTTGCTGTGTATATTTGAAACTGTCCAGCAACACTGCTCGTAAAATGCACTATCACCTGAAAGCCACGCTGGTACTGTACTAATATATGCTATTTTCTTATGACAGTGACAGATTCATAGCCCAAAATATGCATCACATCAGAAGGAGTAGCTGTGATGTGGCCACAGGCCATGTCTCCTCTCAGGCAAAAAGCCCAGTAGTTTTGGGTTTTTTTTGTAAATGTTATGGGTAAACCTTTATAGAGAAGTTAATTTTTCATCTACCTTGGCGATGTGGTAATAAAGAACATTTTAATCATAGAATACCAGGTTGGAAGGGGACCCCAGGGATCACCTGGTCCAACCTTTCCTGGGAAAGCACTGTCTAGAGAATATGGCCCAGCACCTGTTCAAGCTGAATCTTAAAAGTGTTCAGCACTACGAATCCACCACATCTCCCCAAGAGTAACTTGATTTCAGAATTTAGTCCAGAGTGATGGAGGTACCGGGCAATACTACAGCTGGAACTTAAGGAGGTATTTTTCACCTTTTTTCAGTATTCTCACAAATAGAGGACAGTAACAGACTGTATGCTATAGATTCAAACTTAATGCTACAATTTAAAATAGTTACTTTTTCTTCAACAGATCATCCAAATGTCTTCACCATGCCTGAAGCGGATATGAAGAGAATTTTGTGGGTGTTATCCCTTCCCATTATTACGCTACTCTATTTGACTATACCAGATTGCAGAAGGCAGTTTTGGAGGAACTGGTTCATGGTGACATTTTTAATTTCAGCAGCATGGATTTCTGCAATAACTTATGTTCTTGTATGGATGATAACAATAGCAGGTAGGTACCCAAAGTGCTGCTGCTATACAGGGTCAACCAACCAAGAATCACTGAAAGAACAGTTTTCTCCCTGTGAAATTTCCCTTTCCACAACCAACAGTCAGTTTAGCAACTCAGACTTTGCTGTAAAAAACCACAACAAAGAAAACCGAACAGAAAGTTATGTCTGACTGCTTAGTTGGCCACCCTCTTCCATCTACTGATGGAATACTTTTGAGTTTAGCTGCTTCACACAGCTCACCATGAGAGGAAGGAGGATTTGTTTACGTAGCTACAAAAAACCAGCCTATATTTAAAAAGAGAGTTTCATTAAACTGCTCATTAAGGGAAACAATTAGATACACAGCAATAAACTTGTCATGCTGAAGGCTGACAAACACAAAATCCACAAAGACTGGAATTACAGGTTACGGTTTTTGGAAAAGATCTGTTATTTCTACACCTGTATTCTTCATGAGTGCTATAGTAACATATTTGGCATTCACTGCCAAAAAAGTCTCAAATTTTTGTACTATATTATTTCAACTATAGCATCACGTGTTTATTAACCATTCTTGGTGTGTGTGTATGTAAATCTTTTACAAATGTGCATCATCAAAAACTGAAGCAGTGAAAGGATTGTGTTTAAGTGAGGGAAGGGGTATGAACTTGTGTGTAAAAATATTCTACTAAAAGTACCTTAAGGTGTTAAAGGTCTCCTCATTTCACTGTTTCTCCAGTCAGCTTTAAAGAAATCCAGTTTTTAATTTTAAGAACAAGCAGAAAACAAAGCTCTAAACCAGAAAGAAATTTTACAAAGCTTGCCATTTCCACGTTATAGTTCACTAATCCTACTCAAGCATTCTGCTAGCTCAGATATGAATAACTCCTTGTTCAGTGCAGAAACAGACCTACACGTTTGGTAAACCTTTGAGAAATTACTGGTAAATGGCTGGATACAACAACTACCACGTTCACCTCCTGGTCAAATAATTTTGCAGTTGTATCTAAAGAGCGAGGGTTCACTGTCTGGATGCTAGAAGCCTTTGAAACAGGATTCAAGTCAAAGTTATTGCTGTTCTACAAGACAAAGCATTAATTCATATGAAAGCAGGTACAGTAGTGTAGTAGTTCACTTTCAATAGTCATCACAGGCAGTACTGGGGTCTTTGGCCCACTATTTCTAGGTAAAATATGCTCTGTTTACATGTTAAAACACTAGAAGTTACACACACATTATATTCAAGTCCAGATTCCTTCATGAAGGTTGACTCAAAAATTCTATTGTTGCATAATCAGTCTATCAGAATGTCACAAAGGTGTCACAGCTGGGGACTAAACTTAGATGGTCAAGACCAAACCTCAGTACACCTTTCTGTTGCTAGCAAAGAAAATCTGACTACTTATAGCAAGACATTGCCACTGATACACAAAATTAACTAAAGGCTAGAAAAATAAGAATATTCTATCTTTATGGTCAGTTGCCAGAAAAAAGAAAACAACCCTAGACATTAAATAGAAGATAAATCTATCTAATAAAAAGAACAATTAGATTCTCCTGAGTTTATATTCTGTCTTATAACCTTCAGAGGGCTAGAAACTACTGTTGGGTACATAAGGCTGGTTCATTCTCACTTCAGCTTGGTTTGACCCATTATTTTCCAGCCTGGATGGTTTATAAAAGCTGATTTTGTTGGTCCCTCATCCTACAAATCTATTAGGAGCAATGGAAGGATAAAGAGAGTACAAATTCTGCAACAGGATCATGTTAGTCCCTCTGACCCAACAGTTTCAAACACAAATTTACTGGGCTGCTCTAGACTAAGCTGGTAAGCAATAAGCAAGCATTGCTGACCTAGCTTAGAGCACTGCCTCTTATTTTATTAAAATTGTTCTTATTCATGTTGAAATACTGCAAGTAATAATTCAGATTTCAACAATAAAAAACATTACCATCGTTTTTAGTGAAGAAAAAGGTTTAAGAAAAACTCATTACTTAATAGCTTGAACAGAGGTGTCAAACACTTCAGCATATTGACCCTTCTGAATGGTACAACTGCTAAAATGGTTTTGAAGAATCCCTGTGAGAAAGTAATATGGTTACAGGACATGTGGGGCTAAGAAAAATTAACAGTGAGGAAAAATAAGCTGCCCTTTTAGAAACAGATTAAAACTTTTCTTAATTTAAACAAGTATTTACTTAAAGGAACTCACACTTCCAAAGGGTTACTTGTACTTACAAGTCATATAAAAATTCTGCATTTTGATTCTTCCAAATCTAAGCACTTCCTAATTGGAGTGAAATGGTAAACATGTAGTTGAGACAGTTTTCTCCTAATATCTTAACAACCCTCCTACCCAAGAAAATTCATGTGCTTTTCCCCTTCCCCTTTAGAGAGGGTGATTGTAAAGAGTTATTGCTTCATAAGTCTTTCAAACACTAATGAGATGCCCAAAACCATAAGAGAGACCATATTTGCTAAAGTTGGGAGCAAAAAAAAGTACTTATTTGTTAGATATTTAAACATCTACTTTATCTGCAAGAAAAAATTCATAACTGCTATTGTCTTGACCACTGGAGACATTCCACACAGGTCTTTGAGAAACTTGTTAAGATGGTTACTATACTACAGTTCCTTTTTGATTTGACTGAACAAGGACAGAATGGTATTTGTTGTTACTCTTGCTTTTAACTACTTTGTGATTTAGTCACTTCATATGTAGTCAAGTTAGCTGACACATTCCATATGAAATTACTGTATGATTACTACTTCTTTCTCCAGCAAACAAAGTGCAAAGCACTTTCTTTGGATGTAACCTAACTAAAACCATTTCTACTGTTATTTATCAACTGCAGGTGAAACACTGGGAATTCCAGAGTCAGTAATGGGTCTCACATTACTAGCAGCAGGAACAAGCGTACCAGATACAGTTGCAAGTGTGCTGGTGGCTCGAAAAGGTAAAGATTTTAGTATTCTGCCTCATGCCAATGGATGTGTTTAAGAGGTACCAAGAAAAAAAAAGAATTCTAGTCAACATTTCCAGGAATTCAAGGAGTAACTTCAAAATTTGTGCTCCAGATTCTAGAGCTTAAGTTTACTAAAAATAAATAAATAGCTTACCTGAAAAAGCTGTGGCTCAGACATTTCAAAGCTTCTCAGAGTATCTCAGAGAAGGATTCTAGATTGGTTTATTTGTTGTCGATCAAGTATTACAGTTTTACTGCAGAACACAACTGTAGGTCTTGGTATTTTAAACTTAACTGGACCTTATAACAGCCTGTCTAGCTTATTTTAAGTGCAACTGTGCAGATGCTGGTGATTTAGGGAGATATTTTTATGCTTTTGGTACCCAAAACCGTGTTCTGTAGAATCGTGACTACAGTTCCTTCGATGCAAAATCTGAAAAGGGTGCTCTGTGAGAAACTGAGGGCTGACAGTCTGTTCCTCCAAAACAGTTTGGCAATTTCATCCAATACAATTAAGCAAACTTATTTGCCTTTCTTCTTTTACAGGAAATGGAGATATGGCTATGTCTAACATTGTAGGATCCAATGTATTCGATATGCTCTGTTTGGGAATACCCTGGTTTATAAAAACTGCCTTCATAAATACATCAGGACCCATAGAAGTGAGCAGCAGTGGTCTGACATACACAGCCATTTCTCTTATCTGTTCTGTTGTTTTTATTTTTCTGGCAGTTCACCTGAATGGCTGGAAAATAGATAAAAAATTGGGAACAATTTGTCTTGTACTGTACTTAGTATTTACTGTACTAGCAATTTTATATGAACTTGGCATCATAGGAAACAATCCTACAAGGGTCTGTGGTAACTAGTTTTAATCAGTGATTATACTGATGAAAAAAATTAAAACAGGAGGAAAAGATCAGTTTCTTCATTTAGTCAAAATAAAATAAAATAAAATAAAAAACCAACTCCAAACTCCCATTGGGCTCTAAGTCTTATATACAGAACTAAGTCATGTCATCAAAGTAATATTAAGTAGAACAAAAACATCACAGCCTAATTGGAGCCCTTTCTTTTAGAGTTAAGAATTACAGTATGACTACAATGCACATATAAAACCAAAATTCTGAAAAAAAAAGACATCTACTTTTTACATTACAATGTTGATACACACTGGAGGGCAAAAGTAAAAATCATAAAACACTAAATAAATCCCACTATGCAATCTTGAGATTAACAGAGAAAATGGCTTATTTTATTAAAAACAGTATAACCATTCATTTAAACTGAATGACTAGAGACACTTGGCCTAATTTTCCAAAGGCACTGAGCATCCAAAGCTTCCACGGTCAACAGGGACCTGCAGGTGCTCAGTGCCTCTAAAAAAACAACAAAAATCAGGCAAATTGTCTTTAAAAACCAAACATTGTAAGATTCAGTTAACAAGTATCACAGTATATTAAACACTATACTGTTAAAGGCTGGTGGGATTTAAAAGTTCCTTTTTACAGCTTTTGTAAGCATACAATGTTACTAAAAATGACTTGCTAAGATAGAGAAGCTAAACAAGACATAGGAATGTTCCTGAACACACAGTTTTAAATTATGCATTGCGATCCAAGCGGACATCAATTTCTCTGCCACTGATTTTTATGCCGTTCATTATCCTACAGGCCTTTTCAGCAGATTCTGGTGAGTCAAATCTGACTGTTCCACAGCCCTTTGATTTTCCATTCTCCATTTTTATTTCTGCAAACATTACATGACCTGAATAAATAAGTTAAACAGCAGTTATTTCAAGTCCTCAGTGCACTAACAACTTAAAGAACTCAGAAGTGATAAAAAAGCATTTCTAAGTATAATCTAGGGGAACATATGAAATTGGCACTTCCAGATTGATGGTACATTCACTCATCCAGCAAGGGGACACGGGACAAAATAGCAGTGAAGAATCCAAATTAAGATCCACTATTTCAAATCTTCACACCAGCATTAAGATGAAGTGTAACTATGCCTGTATTTGACCTCAAGTTTGAAACAAAGTGCCCTGTAAGACTCAGGGAAAAGTTTGTGTTTCATTTACAGACACTGACAGAAGGGTGAGTATTGACAGGCATTAACTGAACTGCAGCTCAGTCCAGTCCACACTGTTCAAAACAAAAACATATCAAGCAATAGCCACAATCAGACAGTTTTGTTAAGGAGCTGCAGAGCAAAACTGAAGTCTTTAAACCAATGCAGTTACCGGGTTAGGAGTGGTGGATAACTAATATGCGCTGTTCACTTCTTGCCAAGCTTTCTTGAGGTTGGACACCCAACTCACAAGGCGTTACTTTTATGAAGATGCCTTGGTACCTCTGAGAATGTTCAGTTCCCTGGAGCTAATGAATTTTCGCTTATGGTGTGTTATAGCACATCCCTCCTGAGCCCCAGAATGCCACTAGGAACAAAAAACTTTTCACTAAAACACATGGCTTTTTATTTTTAAATATCATATAAGACTGGCCTTTCACTGAAAGAAACTGAACATTGGGAGACGCAGTCTTTGTATTTCCTTATGATACTGGCAGATGAATACAATCTGTTGCTTATAATTCTTAAAAGCAGCTGAGCATAATTACTACATCTGTTAGCTTAAAAAGACATGATTAAAAAAAACAAATTCTGAACAATCTGAAAGTTGCCAGGCATCTAAGACTTAAAAAAGGAAAAACCTGTTGCACTATATCTTCCAGCAACAAAAAAACATCAACACCTTATAATTTTTCATAGTTGAACTGTGAGTTCAATTAATATCAAATCTGCAAACAGCTTAACATCAGCAGTGTTTTAGATTATTTGTCTTTTCTGTCTCTCCAAAATAAAAATCATCCTGTAATTCAGTTAAAGCTTTCTGTTCTGAAAATGTGTTTTCAAAACACATCATGTATTTCTATAACCAAGCTTTATTTTTCATTTACTTCTGTGAAAAGACAAACTTTTCTGAATTACATTAAAAAAATTATTGAATATTTGTAGCAATCCTTTATCTTATATCAAAAGGCCCCTTATTTCTTAAGATAAAGGGGAACATTACAGCCTGCAGAGATGCTAATCAGGATCATCTATATGCATAAAAAACCCAATCTGCCACTTTGGCAAAACTACTAACTCTGATTTGATGTTTCTTGAAGTAAGCAGCACCATTTCTTGAAGCAATGCATGACCTGTACAGGCCCAGGTCCCTGCATCCTCTTACTGGCCAGAGGACACGTCAAAAAAAGAAAAATCTCAAAGAGTAATTTTATTAATGGAGTAAGTAAAAGTTTATAGCAGGTGAGCACTCAGAGCCAACACAGCCTATACTGTACCTTGGTCTTGTGTTCTGCCATGCCTAAAAATTATTTATATAACTCAAGAAAGCTGGGTGAAGTAAGAAAGATTAAGCTCACCAAACTGTCCTTCAGAGTAAGGCAACAGTTTTGTCTTCCTGTCCTTATCTAATAAACACCACATAAAACATGAAGCTGATGGAGCTGAGCAGGGGCAAGATTCATATACATACCACACTGACTGAATTTCTCCTTTAGCTTCTGCCAGGTCAAGTCAAAAGGAAGCTAGAATGAAAATGCATTATTGATAACAAAATATTAGAGACAGAAAAAGCGCAACTAATCAAATACACACACAAAATAAGCTTGTGGTTTCTATATATTCAATTGCTTACATTTCTCACAAATATCTGGTTGCCTTTAGAGCCCAATCTCTCTCTTATGCCACTTCCCATGGGGCCAGGCACAAACCCTCGATCGATATCGATGTTCCTGTCCAGGCCTCCACCCATGGCTGGTCCCATTCGATCAAACCCAGCGCTCATCCGATCCATTCCCATTCCTCCAGCCATACTGTTCATACCACCCATTCCACCACCTACGCAGAGAAAGAAATGGAGGATAAAATAAAAATCTCTTTTTAGTAATAAAAACACAAGTATTTTGTAAAAGCATTACAAGACACAAATTGTCAGTTCTAAAATAAAAAAACCAAACTGCATCAAGCTGTTAGTCATAACCACCTAATGTAGCAAAATGTTGAACACTACAATTCAGATTCAAAGGCTGTCCTGTTTAATTAATAAAAATGTGACACCCTGTACTAAAAAGATCAAGTAAATAACTGGCAATGCTAAGATACAGATAATTTGACCAAATACACTCTTGTTTATTTGGCTTCCTGCATTTACATTGAGCTTTACTTAATGCAGCAGTAGCCACACCTACAGACAAAATTTTCCACAGAAGGCACTGTTTTGCAGAAAACAGAAGTTACTGCCAAGCACTGTAAAGAGCATGGACTTCCCTATGATACAAGCAATGAAATATATTAATATATATTATATAACGAACTAAGAGCAATGGCGTTCAATATTATTTCTGGATTAATAATTAAAAATTAATATACAGCAAAACTATCAAGAGCAGTCATGAGAGACATTCTTTTTAAGCCTTATGCCTTTCAAGATTGGCACTAGCAAAATTTTAGTTTCTCATCTGGTCTAGCCTAAGGAACTCAGATATTTGCTGCAATACAAACTCAGTATTGGAGCTTTGCACAAAATTAAACTGAGTAATAATCTGAAATTCAAGCCTGATTTTTTTATTTCAATGATGACTGATTAATGAGGTTCAGCTTCATGAAGTTTACACAAATAAATGTGCCTATCTGTCTTTTTTCTGGAACACAAGTTTACTTTAATCACCTCTCCCTCCAAACTAGAAGTTAAAACCATTTCAAAACCAGAATTACGGGAAAGACTGTATTACCGAGTTTTCTTCTGAACTGTTACCTCAACAAAAGAGCTTTGAAAACTATCAGACTTGCAGTCATGTGCACCAGAACTCTACTTCTTCCATAGATGCAAGACACTACACTACAAGGAAATCCTCTGATACAATTACACATACACCACATCACGACATTGCCTACGCATTTATGTTCTATTGAAACAAGTCAACCTACTCATTCCAGATCTTACTGGGCCCATGCTAGGTGCTCCCATTCCTCCTGCAAAAACACCAATCATTGCACCACCTAAACAGAGAAAAATAATGAAGTGACATACGCTGAAACCAGCAGTTAGTGACAACAACAAAGCACATGTTGATGAAGTGCACTGATCTCAGTGTTATCTGGCAGTATTTTTCTATAGAACACTTTAACCTGTGCCTTTAGTTCCACCCTTTCTACTATGGGATTTAAGCTACTCTGATTTCTTTCTAGCTTTTCTCCTCCCATCTGACAGTCTGCCAGCAGCACAAACATGACAAAACTAAATGAGCCATTTCCCACATTGGGAATGACAACCTCAAAACTCAAGGCTTCATCTTAGTTGAACTTCACAGTACAAAAATTCAGCAATTCTGCTCCAAATCAAACATCCTCAATTTCACTAATTGATGCCATAGCTCAATCAAAGACACCCTCCCTGGTTTCAAGGTTACTAAAGCCAAATACCTTCACAGTTATTTCCTCTTAAAATATCATTAACCTAAATATTGTAACAGTACAGTAGGGCCTTCCCTGATTAAACACGGTCTCTATTAACTATTGTATTTGTGAGTACTGTAATTTATTTAAGATTAAGTTGGGAAACTCTAATCTTGATTCTCAGAACACTATTTAAATGGTAAGACTGCTGCCAGGTTGCAAGATGAAGCTTGCTGTGTCTGCTGAATGAAAGACTCCCACACCAGTTTCTCACAATGCCCATGGGCATGCATTTCAAACCCAGCGTGCTACCAGAAGACTCAGAGCATGCTGCTTGCAAGAACATTTATAACTAGAGTGGCTTTGCATTTTCACTCAGGAAACAGATGTTTATCCAATGTTGCAAATAGCCAGAGTGAAAGCATACATTCTAAGACATTAATTCCAAGGCATTAGGCCTAGCTCAAAGGACAAGCTTGTTATGTTCTTATCACTTCCACATAATTATTTTGTGTTCAGTTTTGGGCCTGTCATGACAAGAAGGAGTGTGCCCAAAAAAGGGCAACAAAGCTGGTCAAGGGTCTGCAGCACAAGTCTTGTGAGGAGCAGCTGAGGGAGCTGGGGATCTTCAGCCTGGAGAACAGCAGGCTCAGAGAAGCCCTTATTGCTCTCTCTGTAAGGTTGCAGAGCTGTGGGGGTCTGGTCTCTTCACCCAAAACACAAGGGGAAATGGCCTCAAGTTGCACCAGGGGAGGTTTAGATTGGATATTAGGAAAAATTTCTTCACAGAAAGGATTGTCAGTCACTGGAACAGGTGGAGGAAGGAAAGGGAGGAATTAACCTTCCTTGGAGGTATTTAAAAGACATGTAGGTATGGCATTTGGGGACCTGGTTTAGTGGTGGACTCAGCAGTGGTGGTTAAAGGTTGGACTCGATGATCTTAGAGGTCTGTTCCAGCCTAATGATTCTGTCATTCATCTGTGTAACAGCGAAGTAACAAAGTGCAAGAAGGCTCTACTGTTAAGCACTTCCAGGCCTCTGAAGATAGAAGAGTAACTCCTTTGAGGGAACCCCACTGTCAACAAGAACATCATCTATAAACAAAACAAAGATGCCTCAGAAGAAGCAAATAAATACTATTCTGAGCTGCATGAGCTCAGAAGGCAGGAAGAAAACTGAGGGCACCTAAATTCATCATTCCTATCCAGTGCTACCTGATTTGCAGTAAAAACAATGTTCCACCATGCATTTGCAAACAGGCTCTGGGGAGGCTGTTCCAGTGTCTGACCACATTCTGGGTGAAAAACTTCTTCCTGATATCTAACCTAAACCTCCCCTGACACAGCTTCTGGCTATTCCCTCAGGTCCTGTCACTGGCCACCACAGAGAAGAGATCAGTGCCTGCCTCTCCCCTTGCCCTCACGAGGAAACTGTAACTGTGACAAGGTCTCCCCTCAGTCTCCTCTTCTCCAGCTGAACAGACCAAGTGACCTCAGCTTCTCCTCCTACAGTTTTCCCTCCAGACCCTTCACCATCCTCATGGCCCTCCTCTGGATGCAATTTTCCACAAAAAATTTAGCAGTTACCATACCCATCCTTCCAAAAGACTCTCCAAAACCACGGTTCAATGCCATGTCACCACGACCAAATTCTCTTTCCATGTTTGCTCCCATTCCACCACGGAACATTTCTATGGAGAACAAGGCAAAAAAACAGGAATATTCTGTTATTAACACCCAAGTTTATGCTCCTACAATACTTGTTCCACACCTGCTTGTTTAAATAGAATGCCCAAGTCAGAGACATCTATTAAACATTTTACTCTCATGCCAGTTCCTAAGCCTCCACTCAGACAACTGTTTCCTTTGGACTCATCTATATTATCCATCCCTAAAGGAAGAGTTTTCAATAAATAAATATTAGCAAACTAGAAGTGTACAGGAACGGTGTTCAACTACCTCCCATTCGGTTGACTCCAAATCCTCCCATATTAGGCATTCCTTCCATTCCACGAAATCCAGCAAGTCCTGTAAAATAAGGAAGAGTGTTTTCTATACAGTATTAAAGAAACACTTAAAGCAAAAAACTTCACTGCACGTACCGCCTCCCATTCTACTCATTCCACCGAATCCTGGACCGTCTATTCCCATACCTTTAAACCAGAAAGAAAAAACAACATTTAGAAGACAGGCAAGATCCTCATGGATTTTTAAAAATTCACAGATGGTTAAAATCTCTAAATCACACTATACAAGGCTTCCTTTATCAAAAGTCTGTCATTCTTCCAAACACAGAAGTGACAATTTTAAACTGTATAACTTAAAAATTAAGAATGTGGATTTACCTCCTGGACCCATGCTCCCCATTCCACCACCCATGCTCAACTGTGTTGCACTGATGGGTTGTCCACCTGGTCCAAGTCCCATACCAATGCCACCAAGACCACCTTGAAAACAACAAAATAAGTGTCATCAGAAGAGAGATTTTCTTCTATATCATACAGAGATCATAGTAAGCAAAGGTACTACTAAACTATGCCAAGAAAAGTACTAAACTGTGCCAGAACAGTATGTATCACCACATATTAAGTGCGAGAAGTAGAAAACAGAGTATGCACTTACGAGGTAACTGCGAGCTTTTGCTGTCTGCAACACGGAAATCTTCATGAGGAACTGATTTGTCATCCTAATAAAAAACAAGGATGTCATGCCATGATCCTTTCAATGTTTTGGCAGAGACATTATAAGGCAGCAAGAAACATAAGCAACTCACCATTTTTACATGCATGGGTCTATCAAACAGGAACTGTCCATTGAACATTGCTGAAGAAATGCAAGTCAAGGAGTCTAACTAGAGAAGGCAATTTTACTATTTAAGAAGAATTAATGTAATAACTTATTTTATTTCTGTACCATAATTAGAATCCTTATCTTTCCTTACCTGATCTTTAGAATGCCAATTCAAAGACCAGTAGATGCAATGCAAGCTGTTAGGTATATGAAAGTCAGTTTAAAAACTGTCACACTCCCAGATATTTTAATTTAGTTCAACACCACCAGGAACTTTTAGACTTTAGCAGTAAACTCAGTCATTTTTAGAAATGTAATCTGCACAGTATTACACTCTACTTCTTATACACAAGCTACTAGGCAAATAAGCACCATTTGCAAAACTATGCTGTCAAAAGCCACTAAAGACTAATCCATACTTGATCAATTGTTTTCCAAACCCAAGGATACATATTGCTTGAACAGCTTCAATTGCTTGTTCAAAGGTAACTGTTCCCATCCCTCGACTCTTGCCGTCTTTATCTTCTTTGATGTCGGCTCGCTTCACAGTTCCAGCAATGCTGAACACCTCCTTCAGCTTCTTCCAGCCAACTTTAAAGTCAAGCTGACACACAGAAACATATTAGTGATTTCAGTGCACACCTCTGTCCTGCAATTACATTTGAAGAGATTTTCTGCATTGCTGTTAACTCCTCAGCTTCACAAAATGCTTGATGAATGTAAATAGCCAAGATTTTGTAATATACACACACTAAATCAAAGTCTAAAAGCAAAAATTTATTCTGTGTACATGTATTTTACTTTAATTAACATACTAACATTGAGGAATGGATTGGATCTTGAGCACCTGTACTTCCACAAGCCCTCCTGCAGACATAGTAGTCTTTTTTGCAAATAAAGAACTTACACTGTTATATTTGTTGGAACTTCATTAAGTTAGTCTAAAGTAACTAGCAATATAAACTGAAATGTATATTTAATAAAAAAGAAATGCAGTTGTAAATAGATAGCAAAAAGATGTATAAAATATTTCTAATCAACAAATAACTATTCAATAATTATAAGTGCATGTTAGTCTCGAGAGTTTAACGTATCTTTCCATGTCCAAAATATGTATTTACAACATTTTCAGTTGAATATACTAATTGTGAACTAACTTCCAACTTCCTCTTTATATTAAAACTGAACTAAGCAGGTATAAGATGTCTTACAAAGATCAAATATTAAAGATATAAAATGCAGTTTTAAACTTACATTAGCAACAAAAATAGTGGACCCAAGCCTGCCTGCCTGCAAGTTACTGATAACTTCGGGAGGAATGTTTGGATTATTGAGAATAGAAGGTGGTAAATTCATTATTCCAGGTGCTGCATCAGGTCCATGTCCTCCTGGAAACTGTCCTCCCCCACGCTGTAGTGCCCTACGAGCATGTTCACCTTCAGGATCCTGAAATGTGGGCAAAAATAAAGCCACTTAATGAGCAACAACAGGACTGGCAACGAACAAAAAGTACTGTTGAAATTCTACATAAACCCATCAAAATTATCAGCTGATATCCTTGTCCATGTCAGAGGGATCAAATTAGCATGGAGACCTAATGCCCTCCCCTCTAGAGGTGGGTCCTTTCAGATGAGGGTTGAGGTATATTGGCAAAGCATGTGCTGAGGAAGCACTGCCATTTCACATGCTGTACCTACCCTGTGGACAAGTAGAAAAGTTTTCAAGCTAAAGGACTGTCAGTCTGGCACCTTCCTCCAAGAACGGAATTAATTTAATTAGGTGGTGGGTTTGTATTATTTATTAATACCACTATTAAAGCTGCAATAGGACAAGAAGAACTGCATCAGATACTGTGATACAGTACACTACAACAGAAATGTTGGCATTATTTCACTTTCCAGGCAGCACAACTTCTCTACTTCAGCCCCCTTGTTGCACATGTGTAGTATTCTAACAATTAGCTTGTTCTGTGCCATATTTTGAGGCAGGTAAGCAATGTAAACATAGAATTAATTATTCAAGCTAGAAAAGATCTGATGACACTTAGGTAAGAATATGAAGTTAAAGTTGTTTTAAAGAAAAAACAGCATTAGATTATTTTGACTCCAGGACACACTTTCTGCCAGTTCACTTGGCATAGCTGACCTGCAAGCCAAGAGGGACTTCAGCTGATTAAGAAAATTTCATAAAAACTTAAACTGGAAATTACATATGTAAGATTCTCAAAACACTGTATTGTCATCTATCATTGTAGATACTCATCTACAGTATCTTCATTAATTCAAATTCAAAACAGCAGCAATAACCATACCTCTTTAATATTCAGGGGTCTTCCACTAAGATCATATTTGTTCATAGTGTCTAACGCTTTCTTAACAAATTCTTCATCTTTGAATTCAACCACACTTAGAGAGAACAAAACATTTAGAGTATTACAATAAAGTCCAAAATGCCAAAACAAATAGAATGTTTGAATATCAGTGTGTTTCTACACACTTAAAAAAGAAACTTACCCACAACCCTACATCCATGAGATTTGTCATCATATGTAAAGAGAAAACAAGCAAACAAGAAGTCAGTCAGCACATATAACAGAGCAATGAAGATTCCAGTTTAAGATCCCAGCTCACTGTTAAATAACTATGCAAGTTATTTTCAGCTTCAAAATCCATAATACGTGTTCTTTAGTGGTAGCCAATCTGAATTTCTCCTGCTTTCTCAATATACATACCTTTCAAATGCAAGAGAATACATTGTCTTTTACTCTCTTAAAGTCAAACCAGAATTGGAAAAATGCCACACAGATCCATGTAAGGACAACTGGGGAGAGGAGGTGGGAGGGAAAGGGTGGAAAGAAAATAACCCCAAAACATAACCAAAAACCAATCAAGACACTCATCATGTCATTAAAAGCTACCCGCTGACTAAAGAATTCAAATCTACCTTCATCAGGTATACCAGTACAATGAACAAGGAGTCTGCATACCTCTTCAGTATTACAGCAGAATTGAGAAATTACCTTGTAAGAAAATAACCTGATTGACTGCACCAGAATCCTTCTAATAAAGCAAAGAGTAGAGGATTGCTTTAAGTATAGCAAAGCTGACAGCATGTTTTAGTATTAAAGAAGTAATTTACAACAATTGATGCAACCTCAGCTAAGACTCAAACCTGCATTTCTCATGTTCTCACTGCAGGTTCAGAGCTGCTATTGGCCCAACTTTTGACTATTTTTAAGAAGACAGAGGAGCTTTAACAATCTTCACTCCTAGTGCCTCATTGCAGGCACTCTGCTGGCTACCGACCATCTCCTTCCATTTAGTTTTAGGAAAGCAAATACATTAATCCAGTGTTTAAAGTACCAACCCTGCAGAGCTGTCAAATCAGGCACTTCACACAGTATATTCTTAGCTAACATTTTATACTCATTGGCCCAAGAAGAGAATACTACACTAACAGAATTTAAGTAAAATTAGTGGTTTGTTGAACCTCCTTTATATGAAACAATTTGTACCAAAACAAAGGTGCTGGCTAAAAAGAAGGATTAAGTAAATGCCATTTGTTAACATTTACAGAAGTACTTTGTCCTTTACAGCCAGCCAGTGTGAGTTGCATGAAAGTGTCAGACTACTTCTAGTACAGAATCCTCAAGGCTACCTTAATGAAAATCAGTGTAAAAATGAAACTTACTTTCCAAAAACTGGTACAGGTATTATACAAAAATAAAACTGCTGAGGAACTTTTAAACCTCTAGCAGATTGTTGCCCACGGCACTTACCCTTGATTTTCCTTCAGCATCCTTAAACAGCTCCACGTATGTAACCTCACCAACTACATAAGACATACAAAGGGAAAATACCAAGAGACAATGCATTTAAACACCAGTATCTTTCTTTACTGTGCCCCTGTGCACAAGTCTACAGAGAATCACCTATTATTCACCAACAATCAAAACCAGACCAACGTACCTCCTGTCAATGGCTATGTAATTTAGCTAATTTTCAGAAATATGCAGCAGCCACATTCTCAAAAGCTAAAAACAAACAACTATATTTAACCTAATTCATACTACAGATCATATTTTGGCCAGTATGATATAGTTGGTGAACAAATTCAGATATACAGAGTCCCTTAACCTAACAAATGAAACGTCAACGTTCACTGGAAAGTGTTACATTTATCATCCTACTCACAACACCTGTTTTAAGGTGACTTTCTACCTGAATATCTTCAATCATAAGTTTGCCTTCAATAATAACCAAATTTACACATCAAATATTTCACAGCAAGCGACTCACTTTCTAAAGTAGGAAGTTTCAGTGAATAAACCAATCAAATAGTCACGTCACCTTACAACAGATAAACCAGCAGTTACAGAAGGGGGTACTGGCATTTTTCACAGCCTAAAAGCCAAGTGTGCTTTGCATTACTTTTGAAGAATCAATTTTTCAAGGAAAACACAGAACTAACTTTTTACAAAATCCATATATTATCATTATTTTACCCCAAACTTAAAACAAAATTTTGGGGGCAGTAAGATTTCTCTATCAGAACTGCAACAATAGTAACAAGCTTTTAATACAAATCTCCAGACAAGCAGTCATGGCAGTAGTGACAATGCAGACAAGGTTAATGCCACAGCCAGATTCCACCAAAGAAATACAAAACAACTTTTGAACATCCCTTATTGTTCATGTTAACACACGTAATGTGTTGCTTAAATACGATAGCCCTTGAAGAAAAAAAAAAACTACAAAAACTACAACTAGACGAAACACAATCTCTTTAGGAAGTCATGAGGTCATGCATATACTCTCTACTGTCACACCAGAATGGCAGAAGGTTTGAGCACTTCATTTACCCATCCTACCCTGCAATGCAATTGTCTCGGATGAAAGAGAGGGAAGGGAGATAGATGTACCAAGTAAAGGCCAAAACAAAAAAAGGCAAATCAAATCTGTGTGGCTCAAAGGACACATACACTGCATTTGAGTCCTATCCCTTTCTAGGTGAAGTGTATTATAAGGAATAAGTTACCTTTCTCTCTCATAAGATCTTTAATAGCTTGCCATTTCATGTCATATGGGATGTTGCTAATAAAAACTCTATTACGATTAACGGCCTTCTTGTCTCCAGAGCCTGCATTCTTCTCCTTGGAATAGGGGTGGAATCTATTCTTGTTTCCAAGAGAAGGGATTGCCTTCGCTTTTGCAACGTACTTCTCTTTCACAGGTGCTTTCCCCTCTTTTGCTGTCTCATCATTATCCCTAGATTAAAAAACAAAAAATCCAAACAAAAACACTATTAGTCTTGTGTTGGATCATTAGATCACCATAGCTCCTATATATATATACATATGTATATATATATATATATATGTGTGTGTGTGTGTGTATATATATCTACCTATCTATATATATCTATATATCTGCCTATCTCCTCTATGCTATTAGAACTTCCAGGATGTCAAATGTTGCTTTCCAAGTTAGGAAAAATAAATTCGCATTAAGAGGGTAATTCCAAAATACATTGTTTTATCTCAAACAAAAAAAATAACATTACAATATTAAGTAAAGAAAGTACAGCTTGCTATTTCAGTTACATTCCATTTCACAGAACCAAAGAATCCATGAAAGGTTTGGATTGGAAGGCACCTTAAAGATCATCTCGTTCCAACCCCCTGCCATGGGCAGGGACACCTCTCACTGCTCAGGGTGCTCAGAGCCCCGGCCAACCTTGAACACTTCCAGGGATGGGGCATCCACAATTCTCTGGACAACCTGTTTCAGGGCATCATGTCTGTCAAGATTCACAAAGACACTATCTGCAGACTACCACAAATACCAAAATAGAATGACTCAGCTGAAAAATCAGCTCTTAGCACCCATGCTTTGGTGCTTCCACAATTTTCACATCACATTCGGCCAAGTTACACAATATTCACGCCCAAAGTTAGAGTTAAAACAAGTTACAAAGCAGCTCAGTATACTTTATTCAATGTAATAATAATAGATCAAAATCAACTCCAATAGGCTGTAAATCACATTGTATTTTATCTATCACATAAATAATTTTTATTCACAATTTGTGCTAGATTGATTTTAGACAGAAATTAAAATTCAACTAAGAACAACAAACACTTTTTCAGTCTCACTGTTTAGCACTACTAGAGTTTGAAAACTTGCTAAACGCATAGGGAATAGATGTATTAAGACTTGATATGCACTTAAGACTAATTAAGTCACCAGATATTATCCAGTAGAAACAATAAACAGACTTCTGGCCTCGGTCTTTCAAAAGTTTACCAATAGCAGCTGCTCCCCTTTTAAAATTTAATAAAAAATTTTCTACTTCTCTTTTAAAGCAGCCCAAATCTCAACTTCAATGAAACAATACACTTTGACCAGAATTGGATGTAACCTCAGAACTCTGTGGCACTCTCGACACTGTTACTATCCCGAGCTGATTTAACATAATACCAGAGGCTCAAGGTGCCTGAATTGTTATTTAAAACAGGAGAACTGCTGCACTGAAAGAATCCACTGAATAAAGCCACACAAATGTGGCCCACTAAACAGATAATACTTAGAGACACATATCACTGTCTACTTAGTTAAAGAGAAGCTTTAAAAAGTATTTTTACACAAACATTTATTTAAAAAGCGAGCATTAGCCACTTGAGTTAGAACAATTAGAAGGTGATGTCCTACAGGACTGACAGAAGTAACTGATTGTGAACCCTCCTTATATTACATCACTGCCTTTACTTTATTTCCCACATTTCAGAAGGCTTAGTTTTTATCTCATTTTGACACTTTGGAAGGTTGCTGGTGGAAAATTAGCCAAAACAAGCACTTCAGTTTTACAACCACAACAAATGGTAAGATCACTGATTTTGATTAACTGAGATGAGTATTTTCAGCTCTCTGCAAAGTTAATAAGTGGAAATCTTGCACTCACAAGCACATGCAAGTAGCCTTTCATGTATTATCTGCTCAAGCTTGGCCACATTCCAGGGAGGAATAAATTCAAACGCATCCATATTCCTCCCACGATTTTTTCCCCAATTCTGAAATACTCATACAATATGAACTTCGCAGTCCTTGTGTTTACAAGGGGATTAAGAGAAGATTAGCAACTGGGAAATGCCTGGACACTCCTCTGGGCCAAGTATTTGTAAAATTTAAAACGTTTCAAGTCAATGACATGTTATCTGCTTCAAGCATCCTCCAGTTTCCCTCTGCATCATCCCTCCTCCACACCATCCTGCCCGTGTGAGAACATAATTCTTGTGTGGCTGTGTAATGAAGTGAAATGGAGGGAACAATGCAGAGAGAGAGAGAGGGAGAGCCGGAGGGAGAGGAGAGCAGAAGGAAAGAGCAGAGTGTCAGGTTTTCCAGTCAGATCAGTTCCTTCCAATCCAGTTCCATTTGCAAATGCAAAACTCCTGCCCAATGAGACTCCCAGTAAAAATCCGAGTTCTTCCTTAAGTTTTAGGATTAGAGCAATGGATTCTCTTTAGCCTTTTAAGCTCTTTCCTGCTTAAAGGATTATGAAACAGCCCCTTGGTGCTCAGTGCAGTGCACAGGAACAGACAGGTCTCCAAATATGGAATCCACAGGCTCTGTAAGACCTGGCTGTACAAATCAGTAGAGAGCAAAGAGGATACGAGTTTGGCATAAACTCCAAAATCTGGGAAACAAGACGACACTTCACTTAGTCTGGGAATCACAGCCAGTCTCCTGAAAATAGACCATTAATTAAAGAAACAATTCTTCTTGCAAAACTCATCTGCCAAGACCAACACAGGCCAGTGAACAAGCTGGAGGCAGAGATCCTTTTATAGCTCTTACCCTCCTCCTTGAATATTAAAAATAATTTCAATCAAATAATACATTCAAAGCATGTCATGGTAGTCACCTACAGACCACAGAAAAGACAGCCTCAGAATCTATGAACTGACATTTTCTTGAGGGAAAAACAATAGTAATTTCTAGTCTTCACCTTTTGTATGAGCTACACATTTTATACATTTAATTAATATTTGCCTTTGAAATCACAAGCAAATTTCCAGCATTGAAAAAAAAATCTACAATTATTTCTTAAAAAAAAAAAAAAGGCATGTCCTCATTGATTAGCAAGAGCAATTACAGCTTTGGCAAAAAAAAGCTTTTGAACTTTCCATAAAGTTTTGGAAACAAAAGACAAGGTTTCCACAAACAAAACTAGCACAAGATACACCAACATGAAAGCCCTAAAAGCTGATCTTTTAAAAAACAAACTTCTACTTCTGTGCTCACAAATGTCCACAGTAAGATCAGCAGAGACAGAAACGCAAGTTCACAACATGTGATTCCAAAGCACATGGATTGGTTCAGCTTTGCTGAGTGGAACAGTTCCCACTGCTCAGTACAATAAACTTAGGCAAGTGTGCAAGTTGAGATCAGGATTCCTCTCCAATTTAACGAGTGCTAATCAAACCGGGTTACTGATAATTTAAGTAGTACAATGCACCTGCCCACTGACACCTTAATCCTTTGTACGTGTGTTTTGGGGAAGACCAGAAACTCTATGTGAAAGAACAAGATTTGTATCTCTGTCACCAAGAACTCTGCATCACTTTCAGACTTCAAGTTGTGATTTCTACCACGTGGAATGCCTGGGATTTTTCATTTGCTTGTGAGGTTTTGGAGGAAAAGGAAGACGTTGCTGTCAAGAGGGATACAGAGAAATTAAGTCATTACTTCAGCAGCAGCAACCCCAAAAGACAGTAAAATTTACACACCTAAAAGGAGCAAAATGGTGACAATCTTCCTGTGGAAATTCAATTCTAATCTCTGTAGTTTGGAAGCTGAGGGGGGAGAAAAGCAAAACCGCAACTTTTGCTTTATAGTAATGTAAAATTTATAACTTGTAAACTAAACTAAATTTCACAGGGAGTCAAAGATATGAACTATGTCCTTATTCCTCCAACTTTATACTGAAGTTGATCCCACGTGCATTTTTTTAAACACAACAGTATCAGAGCTAGGCTGCTTGGAACATGTCAAAACTTAACAGACCTCAACAGCTTTGATGTACTGCAACAGTTAAGTCTACTATAAATCCATTTTCCCTCCAAGGTTTGAATGAGATTAGCCGAGATATGGAAGCTCTAATGATCTGAGGCCAAAACCTAGTTCATGCAAAGAGTATCAACTCTCAAAGCCTGACATCAAGAGCAACCCCTCACATAAAAAGTTATTCATGGTATTGTTCTAGAGAACTGGTAGTTCCAGCTCCCTTATACTATGTTTCTTTTAGACAAAGCACAATCTGCATACTCCATGTACAAAAATGTTACAATTTACAAGAAAACTTCGTGCACGCATGTGTGTTTTTTGTTTCTAAAAAGTAAATCACTGCAGGGCTGCCTCACCACCCCCGCGTAAACAAAGAGTAGTTCAGCGGCTCTACAGAACACACCGCTCCGGCCACGAGTGGAAACGTGACCGGCACCAGAAACGATGCGGACACCCCTGGAAACGGGTCCCGCAGGGCTGCCCGCCGGGGAGGCCCCACAGGGCCCAGCCCCCGCAGCCGCTGCCCGAGCGCGACCTCCCCCCGTGCCCGTGCCCAGCCCGCGGCCTCCCCGGGCCGGGAGGGGCCCCCAGCCCCGGCCGTGCCCCGGCCCCGCAGGGGAGGAGCCCGGAGCACGGCGGGTCGGGCCGCCCCGGCCCGCGCTGCCCCCGCCGCCCGCCCGGCCCTGCCCCGCTCTGCCCTCACACACATTTTGACGCCATTAGCGCTGCCCGCGCCGCTCCCGGGCGCCGCGGCCGCCTCCTCATCCTGCGGCGGCTGTTGCTGCTGCGGCGGCGGCTGCTGCTGCTGCTGCTGCTGGGGCGGCGGTTGCTGCTGCTGCGGCAGGGAGGGCTGCGGGGGCTGCTGCCCGGCCGCCTCCTCGGCCCTGCGCGGCGCGGCCGCCTCGGCCCTGTCGCTCTCCGCCATGTCGTGCCGGGCCGCGGCCCCGCGAGCGCCGGTTTGAAACGGGCCCCGAGCGCCTCGGCCTCGCCGCCGCCACGGCCGCTCTCGCGAGAGCGGCGCGCGCGGCCGGGGGAGGGGAGCGGCCGGGACGCGCGCGCCGGGGCTGTGCGCGTTGCCATGGAGACCCCGCCCGGCCGCCATGGCCGCCATGGCCGCAATGGCCCCCATGACAGAGCAGGCACCGCCGCCGTCACTGAATCACTGACACGATCACTGAGGTCATCGAGGCCGCACAGTAACACCGCACGGCCAACCACGCCGCGAAACCGTGTCCCCAAGTGCCACATCTGCATGGTTCTTAGACCCCTTCAGGGATGGTGACTCCTCCCTTCCCCTGGGCAGTGTGTTCCTGTGCTTCCCAACCTTTCCATAAAGAAATTTTTCCGAATATCCAATCTAAACCCTGGCAACTTGAGGCCACTTCCTAACATTCTACCACTTGTTTCTTGGAAGAAGAGACCTATACCCACCCGGCTCCAACCTCATTTCAGGGAGTTGTAGAGAGGGATAAGGTCTCCCCGAGCCTCCTTTTCTCCAGGATGAAGGCCCCCATCTCCCTCAGCTGCTCCTCACAAGACTTGTGCTCCAGACCCTTGACCAGCTTTGTTGCCCTTTTTTGGACACATTCCAGGACCTCAATGTCTTTCTTGTCATGATGGGCCCAAAACTGAACCCAGGATTCATAGTGTGGCATCTCCAGTGTGAGCAGAGGGGGATGATCACAGTCCTGCTGGCCACACCATTTCTGATACAAAACATCTTCTATGTTTTTTTTCCAAACATTTCAGTACCCCCAGCATTAAGAAGATCACCACATTCATCACGAAATGAAGGCTCCTGAATCCTGAAGCTCCCAGTGGACCTGAATGACCCCTTAATCTGTGTTGAGACAGCTCAGATGAAATACAGAATTACAGAATGATAGAATATGCTGAGTTGGAAGGGACACATCAGGATCATCGAGTCCAACTCCTGGCCCTGTGCAGGACACCCCAAAAGTCACACCATGTGCCTGAGAGTGTTGTCTAAACACTTCTTGAACTCAGACAGGCCTGGTGCTGGGACCACTTCCTGGGGAGCCTGTTCCAGTGCCCAAACACCCTCTGGGTGAAAAACCTTTTCCTGATACCCAACCTAAACCTTCCCTGACTCAGCTTCAGGCTGTTCCCTTGGGTCCTGTCACTGGTCACGAGAGTGAAGAGAGCTGTTCTTGCCCCTCCAGTTCCTTTCACGAGGATGTTGAAGACCTCAATGACCTCCCCTCAGTCTCTTCCAGGCTGAACAGACAAAGTGACCTCAGCTATTCCTCATACAGCTTCAACTCCAAATCCTTCACCACCCTCCTTGCCTTCCTTTGGATGCTCTCTAATAGCTTAATAGCTTAATGTCTTTTTCATATTGTGGTGCCAAAACTGCATACAATATTCAAGGTGAGGCCACACCAGTGCAGAGCAGAGGGGGACAGTCACCTCCCTTGACTGGCAGATTAAGCTGCAAGTTCAATTTTAGTTAGAGCATTGAAATATTCTCGATGGGCATTTGTTCTATTCTTATAAGAAACAGTGTATATATTTATGTATTTATATCTACTCTATAAAAACCAATTAAATATGAATAGCTGTAACTCTTCTATAAAATTTTAAAATCACATAGGTCTGTACCACACACACGGTACTAAACATTTTGCATTCTCTAGCATTCATCCTGTCAGACGTTCATTTACTTATGAGGCAGAATCTGCAGTATATTCCTCTCAACTTCCTTTGGCTTCTTCAATTCCAGTTTGTCTCTTGGGGAAAACAATAGGTTTTAAGTGATATTTTTAGAAGAAGTAAAAACATTAATCATTTGGACAATGTTTAATCATTTCCCTAATCACGAGCACAGAAGCATTTCCAAAGGGGTAACCAAATAGTATATAAACATCTATTATAAAAGGAAAGCCATTCAATCCTCTGCAATGAATTTAGATTAGTGGCTTCTGGTTGCTGACCTACTGACCTGGACTAATGTGGGTTTTGGAAGTAAACTCCTTATGAGCTGATGGTCCTTTCTTTTGCCTGTCCTCATGACTGTCACAGCAAGTGTTGGTACCATCTGAGATTTCTGAGAAAGTTTAAAGATACTAAGAAATACCCCAAGAATCTACATCCCAGATAAAGGTAGAAAGGCATGTCCAGGGGTCTGATAAGACATGTAATTCTGTTCACACATTAACCATAATTAGATAAGTATCTTGGTATTTGCAGTAATAATCATCACTGAAGGAGTTAACGTTTACTTGCTATTGCTGTCATTACATTTTACAGCTCTCACTTCTGCAGGATGAAGGGCAGTAATTCCCATGTTGAGGTTACTAAACCCTGGTACCAGATCTCTGTTCAACTGTGCTTTGCACAAAGCATCTCAAGTGTAGGAATCCTAAACTCCCTAACCCCGTATTACATCACGAAGCAGCTGACACAATTCCTGTGCCAATGGGCCCATGGATGTTAGTAACAGGAAGAATTATTGAGGTTCTTACACACAGTTTGCCTACTTGTTCCAAATAACTTACTGGCTATTTCAGCTGCTACCTCCTCAAGTCTGTGTACCTTTCGGGCCCATGAGTATGGCTGAGATGGAGTCATTTTTCCCCACAGCAGCCCTCATGTGTGTGCTCTGTATTGGCAGCTGGCAAGGTGTTCAGTAACAATTCAGTGTTTGCTGGGATACATCACAGCTGTATCTCCAACATTCCCCCCTCACCAGCAGGCTGAGGGCGGGCAAGATCTTGGGAGGGGACATAGCCAGGACAGCTGACCCAAACTAACCAAAGGGATATTCCATACTGTATGACATCTGCTCAGGAATAAAAGTCAAGAAAAAGGAGGGGGAATAGGGGACATTCATTATGACATTTGTCCTCTGGAGCACCTGCTGTGTGTACTGAAGCTCTGCTTCCCAGGAAGGGGCTGGACATCGCCTGCTGACAGGAAGTAGAGAATAAATCTTGTTTTCCTTTTCTTCCACATACAGCCTTTGCTTTATTCAGTTGCCTTTATCTTGAGCCACGAGGTGTTTTCCATCTTATTTTCTGCAAGCCCATCCTGCTGAGGAGAAAAGTGGTAGAGCAGCTTGGTGGGCACAGCCAAGGTCAACCCTCCACAGCCCAGCACGCAGAGAGTAAACTCAGGTGTCACACAATGTGTCTAGCAATAAATATTCAGAACTGTACAATCCATACACATCCAGAGATGAAGAGGTGTTTTGGATCAGAGCTGCACTGGGGCATAGTTTAGCTTAAAGCCTGGAGGAGTGATACCGGCTTTGCCCTGTCCCCCTTGCACTCCAACTCCAATTTACAGCATCCTGTTTAGGTCAGTTGCCTGTGTCAGAATTTTTATGGGAGTCTTGCCTCCTTTTCTACAAGCCTCACACATAATCACTTGACATTTCTGTCTTCAAAGAATAATAATAAAGTTGGGAAAACTATCCTACAAAGAGCTATTGGAGCCCTGACAAGGAGTGAACTAGGATTAAAAAGTGGGATTTCTTTGGTCTACAAAACTGCGTTGAAAACTGATTTTTTTCCTAGGAAGACTTCTGAGTATAAAATGATTGAAATAAACATAATAAAAAAATTATCTACTTAGCATAGTAAGTGAAAAAAAAAGGAAAACCATTGTCTTTCCATCCCTGTATTTGTGCTGAGAAAGTCTCCTCAGTTATTACACACTACTGATCCCTCCTGGGAATATTTTAAAATTATCATTTGATATATGGACTTTCAACATCTCTTCCGCCTTTGTTCATGTCCTTACAGGAGACAGATGAGGTTTCTGAGGGATGTTCCTGTTACAAGGGTATCCCTCATTTAGTACAACACTGCTACAAGTGTTCCTGGTCTGCCGTCCTAACAAATTCCTCTCGCCATCCCCTCATGTAAATAGTGTCTCTCAGTTGTAGGGAGGGTGTTTGGCATAATGGCTGTACATTCTTGGCAAGCAGAGTTGACAGCACTGATTCACACATGGAGTTGAGGATAATGGAGTATTATTAATGTTCTTGCATATATATGTAAATATAAGCACCTGTAAAGGAACAGCTCCTGGAAGTCTCTTGTACAAGTAGTAGTTACAGAGCTAAATAATTACATGTGTTCTAAGTACCACCATTCTTTTCAAAATAGTAACTCCAGTCTGTTACTAAATTCAAGTCTCAAGTCCTCAGTGACAAACAAGACATTGCTTTCAACTTGCTAATGAACAAATATGTATCATCCTTTTAGAAAGGACCATTTCAACTGGTCTTTGGTTTATCTCAATATTGGTTTTAATTTTGTTTCCAGTTAAGTCATGATCAAAAGCAGCTCATCAACACTTTCAATGGGTGGAACTTTTAAAAATATTCTATGTTCCTGAAAGTCAGTTTGTATGGAATTTCAGTAAATGGGACTTCTGAGCCTCACAGGTCTTAAATCCATATGACTTTTTTTTTTTTTTTTGTAAATTACTGTTTTCAGGCAGACATTGTTCTCACCTATGTGGTGCCTGTATGGTGAACACATCACACATGTTTTTGTTGCTGTGGCTCCTAAATGTGGCTTCTCTTAGCATTTTCTAGACCCTGTCCACTCTCCAGGAAGCCCTGAGTGCAGCTGGAGAAGTGTTGCTTTAACAACAGATTCGCTTTGTGAATCATTTGACTTTTGTAGCTTATTTAAAGATTCCTTTTTGCAGAGACACAAGTATTTCCAGACCAGTCTGCATTGCCTAAGGATGCACCCAACCTACACTGCTTTACTTTGTGCTAAAAAAATTAAAATTAACCCTACTCTGCAACTGGCACCCTCTTTTGCATACTTATAATGCTCCTGGAGTAAAACAAATACAATCTTCCCCAAATGCTCTCTTTGCAATTAAACATTATCTTCCTAATTAAACATTATCTTCCTAGTCTGAGAAGCAACGTGGGATCAGTCACACAGGAGACCTGCTCTACTTGATCTGCAGGGATCTAACTTCTTTGTCCCTCATGAAAGGCTTACATCTCCCTAAGTCTCATAAATTTTTTTCAGTATTATGCAACCCTTGCCCACAGCTTAAGAGTCTAAATCTTAATCACCTAGTTTTTACACCTAAAAGGTTGCATAACACCAGATTCTTGGTAGCACTTTTACTGGTCCTATATTAAAACAACTCACAACTCTCTCTTCCCCCCAGACATTATTCTAGCTACTGAAGGTACAAAAGAAGTAAACTAAGCAACCTGCTTGTGTCTTGGTCCTTCCTTCCACAACATGTGGTCCCCACTGTCAGGCTGAGTGCCCCTAACATACCCACCACGTCTGCCTTTCACTGTGAGGCAGTAAACACCACGTCCTGCAGGTCTAAAGAGAACCCATCCTTCCCTTTGCCCTCTCCCTCGTTGGCCAGGGGCTTGCCCCAATCCCGGGGTGAAGGAGCTGGAGACACACCTGGGGCCATTTGCCTTCCTCATGGCTGAACTCTCTTGTCCCACCCATACAAGGTGGCACTGTTGATTTTCACTGTATGCATTCCCTCTTCCACCTTTGCCCACACTAACACTGGTTGGACTTCAAAGTGGTGATTTTCAACCTTCTTCAGTTTCTGAATCGCTACATGTTTCCTATGTTTAATATTACAGAAAAAAACGTGGTAGAACAAATGTTAAATACCCTGAATTAAATTACTTCAAATAATTCCCACTTGCTACTGTGATCAATACATAAATTATTATATCATCCTCACACACTTCCGCTGTGCCCCTCTATTAGTGCTTTTATATCCCCTACATACTATTGCTTTCTGATTATGCGTATTCTCAAAAACTTGCTTAAATTTGCTTAGGAGGGGATTTTCAATTTGATCTGTTTCTTCTGTGCACTGTCTTCTTCACTGACTCTGCCCACTTCAGCCCATTTAAAATTTCTAGCAACTTAAGGGAGAGTTTGCTTGGGAAAGAACTCTCAAAGAGCTCTTTAAAGCTATACTGAAAAGCAAGTTACAATGGAGTTAGTTGTCCCTCAAAGCAGTTATATTTTCTTAACACCTACACCACTCAAGTGATCCTTAAACATCAAAAGTATTAACCAGCTAATAGATCCAAAGGTTCCTTATTGCTTCTCACTCACTGGCACCCACTTGCCCAACCTTAAATTAGGCCAGTTGAATTTGCAAGATCAAAGTAACAAATTACCAAATGATTATAAAATCTCTATGTCTGATCAAGGGCTCTCCTTTGAGGAAAAACAACATTCCCTAAACACGGATCAAATTAACAGCAAATATGATTGTAGTCAGATGGAAGTGATAGTTATTGTTCTGTTGAAGATAGAAAAGATGGAGCCTGATAAAGAAAGGGCAAGCAAAGAGTAGTAAACGCTCCCTTTGTCTGTGTACTTAGAATGGGTCACGTACACTGAACAGAAAAACAGTGCTACTTGTCTGCTGACAACTGGTAGCTGAAGAGGGAGACTCATTCCCTGGTGCTGGCCAGTTTCTTTGCCATTTTTGTTTCCCTGAGAAGTGGACTCTCCAATACATAAAATCAAAAGAAAAGCCTTTAAATTAGAACATGAGTATCAGATTCCTAGAAATAATCAACATGGCAACCTCTGCTATGTCATAGTACAAGAGGGGTAATTATTTCACTGTTAAAAAACCTCAACATTTAATCCTACAAGAACAACAAAACAAAAGGATAATATCACATCTACAAGGTGTAAGATTCCACAGGTAAACTTTTTCCAGGAAAAATGGCAGTGAAAGGCCCAGCATCAGTGCCCAAATTCCACTAGAAGAGACAAGACACCCCCACTCAGAATTTATGTGTTTCTACTGTCAATGTTGTCCCTCACTCCCAGTGAGAGCAGACATAGTCATCCTGCCTACTCCCAAGACCTACTTCCAGTAACGTTCTCCAAGTATAGCAATGCTCAACAATTATTGAAAAAGCCTGGATTTATGTCACTCTCCCTTAACAGTTGTGCTAAGTTGAGGGGGTACCATGAAATTCTCAGACTTTGTGTTTGCTAATCCCAAAATCCCAAACCACAGCTGTTTCCATCTAGTGAGACCTTCATGGGGCCCTCAAGTAGTTCAGGGACGGGGCTAAAAAAGAAAACTAGAGCTCCTTAGGAACCGTAGGGGCTCTTTATATAAATATTCTGAAAGCACAATCTTACACTATTTAAAACTATCTATTTATAAAGTCTTCCTGGATCTTCAAATATGAGAGGCACTTCAAAAATTAGCTTGACTTACAATTTCAGCAACAGACATTGTTTACCACATGACTGATGCTGCAACATTAGAAGATCAAACTAATAACCATTAGCAAGTACATAGTTACCCATCAGTTTAATCATTAGTTCTACTAGCAGGAGAAATCTATATTTTGACTCGACCCAATGCTTAGAAGTCCACTGCAGATACAGCAGAGGAGTCGGGCAGTAAAATGGCAGGCAATGCAAACCGCTTTTTTCCCAGATCATATCAGGAAGAAGGTTTAACCTATCCTAGAGTTATTGCATGTAGCAAGAAACGTGGAGTTTTAAAATTATTTTCTACAGAGCAATTCTGCTAGCAGGTCTGCAGTAGTCTCAAAAGTCTCATGATGCATATCAGAGTGATACAGTTCTGTTCCACTGACCCACGTGCATTCCTGTACAAAAAAGGAATCGCCATCCTTTAAAACAGATTTGCTATTTATTAATGCAATAAATACAGATCCAGCTTTGGGAAAATGAATCTTCTGTCGTAATCCACCTTAAACACCTTCTGCTGTGGCAAATGGAAGTCTCTCTAATATACAACCAGTATCGACTAAACGCAGCTAATGAAAGGATATAAAGCGAGGCTTAGGCTCTAATCGTTATTACTACTGGAGCTGTTGGGAGGACCCGAGTCCGCTCTGCGGGCGCAGCCTAAGAGGCTTTCAGCTCCCCACGCCTCGCTCAGTGTGTCAGCGCCTGCCCGCAGTTCCACGGCAGCGGAGCGGCCCCGCCGCACCCAGGGCGGCTCCACAGGTCCCGCTCCGCGCCGGGGCTGCGCTGCTCGCCCGGTACCGGCGCTCCCGGCCCGGGAGGTACCGCAGCCCGGCCCCCCATCGCTGCAGGGACACCCAGTCCCGGCCTGGGCGGCGGGAGTGGAGCAGAGGAGGGAGCGCTGCTCCCGCCCGCTCCGCAGCGGGCCCGGCCCGGCCCTTACCGATGCACCGCACGTAGTGTTTTGCAGGAAGTTTCCACGCTCCTCGGTCTAATCCGGGCAAAGGGGGGCCGGCGAGGAGCGCGGCTGAATTGCGATGGAAGGGGGCGGGCGGGGAGGTGGAGGAGGAGGCGGTAGCAGCAGTGGCCGTGTTTAATTTTTTAATTAGGGCGCTTTGAGCATCTCCCGGCGAGGTCGCATCGCCGGGCGGCGAGGGGAGCCCGGGCGAGCTGCCCTCCCCCCCGCCGCCCGGGGCCACCCTGTGCCCGGAGCCGTCGGGACTCCAACCTGGGCTTTCGACAGCCGGCGAGGCGGCCCCGGAGCCGCGGGAGCTCCACGCTCCGCCACGATGGGCAGCGCGGGCGCGGAGGACACGGGTGGGTACCGCGGTCGGCACCGCGGCGGGCCGGGCGAGCGGGTGGGGGGCGGGCTCTGACCTTGCGGCGCTGCCCGGGCCGGCGGGGCGGGGGGCACCGAGGCACCCGGGGCGGCGGGGGGAGCAGGGGCAGAGCCTAAATCTGCCCTCCTTGGATATCGCGGGGCCGGGAAAGCGAAGGCTGTGCGCACAGTCCTTCAGCAACAATTGCTTTGCAGGTAATCAGTCTCTCGCAGCCGCTGTCCCCAGGGAAGCAGGCAACACTTTTCCACGTTCACAAGTTAAGGATGATGCTAATGAGCATTTTATTTTCCTGCATCACTGTATTACCCAAATCTAGACTACATACAGGCATTCACAGCACAAGAGCTCCTGTCCGATGGAGACTCCAGGCTCACGTATTTACTAAGGATAAAATCTCATTTCTGCAATTCATTGCTTGTTGGAAGGATGGAAGTGTCACTGCTCGGCTGCTGCTTCTTTGCAGGGGAATGCTGTTTAAGTGGAAAAGTGTTGCTTGCACCCTGAGTTACCATGCTGCAAAAACACTGCCTGCTTGTGTGGGGCTTTGCTCTCCTGGCAGAGCAGTGAGCCTTGCCTTCATTTGCTGGGCATCCATGCCCTGGCCTTCCTTCCTTCACCTCCCTGTATATTTTTTTATAACCCTGAAGAGACAGTCTTCTGCCCTGCAATTTAGAGAATATGGAGTGTGTACATGAGCATGACAGGTTGGCTGTGTGGTCACAGCATTGCTTTTGCGGCATTTCTGGCCACGTGTTGTTAACTCAGGTAGCTCAGGCCCATTGGAGAATTCCATATTCATGCAAATTTCTATTTCATTAGGACTTCTCCACTCTTAGTCTTTTCATCCTACCACCTCCTATGTCCAATTTCTGTGATAGCATTTCTGGAATACAGTTCAGGTTCCCTGAAGAGATAGTTAAGTGCAAATGAGGTGCTTCCAAAACTCCCAGAGAATGACTGTTTAAATGTCCTTAACCACACCACCACCTTTTCAAGTTAGGTTTGTTCTTACTCAAACACAAGCTCAGGACTGAAGCTATTAGAAGTACTTTGAGAATGACCACATCCATGAACCAGCAGCTTGGCTGCAGACATCCAAGAGGTGAACAGATGGCCACTGATTTGGTCCATTTTGTTGCACACTACTGTTTATGAAGTGGGTTTTCAGGCAACTGAGGTTTAATCATGCCAAGAGGATGAATGCTCCCAGCTTGAGACCCACCTTTCCAGTACTGAGCCATTAGAAAAACAAGTCCTATAGGGGGTTCTGTGAAAAAAGGACTGAAACACAAAATACAAGGAAGATTATTCTGGCTACTTACTTTCTTAATCTTCTGAGATTCTCTGTAGACATATGAGTAAAGGCTAGATCTGAAAAAAGCGTCATCCTGTCACTCCAAACCACCAAAGAACTGGAGCCAGGGTCTTCAATCAACACCAAACATTGGCAGAGTTGGGCTGGTGATGCTCCTAGGATAAGAATTTCAACATCTTTCTTCCAGCTGCCTCACAATACTTAGTACCCATGGTGTTCCCCTTCTCCACCCCCCACAGGTACAGCCAGCACCCCCAGCTCATACCTCTGTTCTTTCTAGCTCAGTGCTCTATATGCTGTTTTCCTCAATCCTATTTTCTTTAGGACTCTGATTGTTTATTCTGGCCTTAGAAAGGCTTCCAACGGCCTTTTATTTCACAGCAGGATGTTAAGAAGCCTTTCTCTTTTTCAGTGTTTTTATACAGGCGACTCCAAGGAGCAGACTCTTGACCTGTGGAAAAAAAAAAGTCGAGCTCAGTCTGGGGCCAGACCCCCAGAATGGCTCTGCAGATTCTAACTGATACAATGCCTGTCCCCATCACGCTTTCCTAAAGGCTATCTTTGAGGATTTTTGGATCCAGGCCATGTTGGTTAGCATTCAGTCTTCTGACTCAGGACTTGACACATACTCTGCAGCAAATGACAGGGTATCTGACTGACTGGGAGAGGACATTAACCTGTGTGCAGCACTACAGTGTGGAAACAATAAAAAGGCACTCAAGGTCAGACGTGCTACCACAGTTTTGGGGATACATAATTAGAGCAAAATTTCCTATGAACATGAAAGCTTCAATTACAATTTCTGAAATTCAGGACAAGGAAGAGAAGAACACCAAGCTGCACATTAGAGTTTCCCAGCATCAATCCCTCCCCCCATCCTCCTAGCAAAATGCATGGTGTTTTCTCATGCAGCTGTTTCAGCCAAACTTTTGTTGGATAAAACTAAGATATATTTTTCCATGTTTCAGCACCAGTCCAGGTTTGCACAGACATCTGTCCCATAGTGTCTCCTGATAAACACATAATGCACAAACAAATCCCATTAATTCCAGCGTGTAACCTGCAAAATTATTAAGACTGAAAGTCACATTCTTGGAAAATGGCTCTCTGTGGTGAGGAAATGTCATGCCAAACACAAACATATTTGCCTGGACTCAACTCAAATGCAGGGTTCTCCACAGCCAGCCCATCCCTAAGATTTTTCTCTATGTCTTTCAAGGTAGCAACTGAGGTTTTTGGGTCTGGCTTTTCTAGGTAGTGACTACGTATAATTTTCCAGTATAAGCCTTGAATTTAATTTTTATAACCCAGTGCCCTATGACTTTAGGAAAGTAATTTTTTTCCTTGACTGGCTCTTGTTCAAATCAACTGATTTGTGACATAAATTTGTGATATTGAACTTTCTGTGATTTTTTTTCTCTGCGTAAGGTCAAACCTAATAGAGAAATTGAAAGTATGCCCAATGAAAATCCATACAGCAGGTGGGCTTTACCTATGATACATTTTCAGAAAATAAATATTGCTTGTTGTTGACATTATTTCTAATTCCAATAGGCTGTATCTTGATCTTTTCTCCAGCTTATCAGGAATTAAAATAGCGTGACCCAAAGAGCAGAATATAATTCAAAACAAGGAAGGATCTCATACACAGCTCTACAGAATAAACAGAACACTGGTTATGTTCTGGCACACAGAGCATTGAAGTTTATTGCAAAAAGGAATAGACTTGTGTCTTGCCCTTTTAACCTTTGTTTTAAAATTTTTATTCATTAAAGGATAATTAGTCAAAAATCCCACAAATTCAGAAGTAAGAAAGGAGACACCAAACAAGATAAAAGTTCTGTCCATTTCTGTCTGCTCAGGAACACCAAATCTTATTTTTACTTTTTCTGTTGTTCTTAACTGTAGGGTACTGTGGCTACTTTCAGCCATGACTGCAGTACAGAGTACAGACACTAGAGCTCCCTTTAACCTGGCTTAGCAGTGCAGGCACCTGAAGCGGTGTAGCCATGGCAGCACAGAGCTCCAAGTGGCCTAATTACTCTGCCAAGAAATAAATGGATACTGGTAATTCCCTGGGGAAAAAGACGGTGGAACCATTAACAAAAAGAGTTTTTCCCTGAGGCACGTTCGTTAAATAGGTGTTAGCAAGAGGCAGGAAACCTCAAGCTCTACCCTTAGAATAAAAGTGCCTTTGTCCTTTGGCGCTTTTGATGTCCAGGTCCTTCCAAATCTCCTGCTGTCTACAGGTACAAAAGAAAGATGTGATTCTAATATCTGACGGAAAACCTAAAATAAAGCAAAACCATCCCCACCCCCAATTAAAATCTATACAAAAGATCTCCTTAAACAGACAAAAATAAAAAGTTTCACCTAGCTGGAAACACGCAGAGCTCTCCTGGTGGCAGTGGCAGGGGGGAGTTGCCTGAGTCTCCTGCCCTCCATAGGACACACATCAGGGTCAGCCCCCTGAGCACCATCAGGAAAGAGTTCAGACCTGCTGTTTCCTGTAAAAATGGCATATAAAAAAGGATATGTGTGTGTTTAAAGGGAAGACCAAGAAGAAGAAACAAATGAGAGGAAGATTTAGGGGAAAGGAATTTAATTCTGTTATCTCTTCTCCCACCAATCTTTCCTCATACACTAGAGTGGACATGTATAGAGAAAGGTAAAGGGGTAATTTTACCAATATGCTCACTTTCTTACAAGCTCAAATACACAGGGTTTTTTTTCTGAAACTGGGGCTCAAGACTTCACTAAAATTGTACACACAGTGGTTTATTTTACAAGTTGGATCTATTTATTTAGACTCACGATCTAAATCAGATGGCAAAATCCACATTATTTGGCTGAAACTGCCTTTGAGGTCAGTGCAAGTTTAACTAGTTTTAGGACAGAGATTTAAAGCCATTTCAGAAAACTTACCTGGTTTCTCCAGGTGGAGACCTTGGTGAGTATTGCCAAATCAGAATCTGTAGACTTGTGCCCAGTCTGACAAAATGCTATTTGCAACAGCCATGTGCTGAAATTTCTGTTTTGAGGAGACAGAAAGCCAGAAAACTGTGAGTTTGCTGTCTCATAACAGAGCACAGTAATGTGTGGATGGTGTGTAGAGGCTAAAAGTTGTGATTTTTTCATATTAATTTATATGTGAAAAAACAACAGGACACTGCACTGCTAAAATCCAAGCTGGTTTTCATTTTGAAATGTTCATATACTACAGCTCGGATACATGCATCCCATTTAGCCCTAACCACACTGATTGGACTTTTCTATGCAGGCAAAGAAGCAATAGAGGTGAAAACCCCACAGAGTCACCAGGATGTGATGCCCAACGATGAGCAGTAATTACTGCAGCAACACTTCAGCCAGCATGAGCGTCAACGAAATGTCTGCCTTCCCTCTGACTCTAGAGCAAAAAACTGGCTTTGCCTTTGTGGGGATTTTGTGTGTTTTCTTGGGACTTCTAATTATCCGATGCTTCAAAATCTTGCTAGACCCCTACAGCAGTATGCCTTCTTCTACATGGGAAGATGAAGTTGAGGGGTTGGATAAAGGAACATTTGAATATGCTCTTGCATGAAAACTCACAGAATATCCTGCCTTAAATTTGATGTTGATTTCATTTTGGAAACCAACTGGTGTTACGTTTGTTATACATACCCGCATTTTGGAGATATGTTGGTGGCATCCATTTTGTTAAATAAATATTTGTTGCAAACTCAAAAGGCACTTCCTGTTGGTTTTATTTGATGAACAGTGGAATGGTAGGTAAGAAACGGTTAACAGAAAACAAATACTGCAATAATTCAATAGAAAGGGATGGTGGCCAATATTTTAAGAGTCAGATGATATCTGCTTCTTCAGAGGAAGATCTCATTTCTACTGTGTCTCATGATAGGCTGGAGAAAAAGATGAATAACACAAAAGGCAGGCTCACGAATGGTGAATGTTTAAATGGTAACACCCTCCCCTCCTCATCTGACACAATTTTCTGAAACTTATAGTCTGTCCTTTTACACTGAGAATACAAAAGTGGAGGACAACAAATGTTGAAGGGTGCCTGCAAGAGGTGTGTGTCCATGTTGCTGAGGTGAGAGGAACATGGGCTAGTCCACATATCTACCAATATTAAGAAACTAATGGGAAGGCAAAGATCACATCAGTTGCTAACTCATCTCTCACCTTCCAAGAAGAGCAGGTGCTCTACTACTGACTGGTTATGAGGAAAGGTCATTGCTTCTCTGTGAAAACTTGATGTGGTCCTCTGCAAACACTGTGTAACTCACATCAGTATTTTTTTGATAGATCTCCCAATCTACAGTAACAGAAACTCAAGCAGAATTTCTGGAAGGGAAACAAACATCATTAAGGAAGTTTTTGATACTACAAACATTCAGCTATACAAAACATATTACCTACTCCGAACTCCAATCCAAATCAACATCACCACGGTCCCAGTTCACCAGCATCTCCTACATTGCTACAAATGTTAAGTGGAAGAGAAAAACTGAATGTTAAGTAACCAATCTAACTCTAGCTGAATTGGTCAATTGCCAGTTTTTTACTACTTGGTAACAAAAGTTGATTCAGTTTAAACTGGAACTTAAACTGTCTGGTTAACAGCTCCCAGCAATAATTACACCAGCTTGGCAAGGCCAGAGCAGAGACAATCATGCTGCTTACCCATTTGTACCCAGCCCCCAGGAGGGACAGGGGTCCAGAGCTGACTGCAGAGCTCTGTACTCTCCAGCCCCTCTCCACAGCTGCAACTTTGTAGAGTGGACTGTCACTGAAGAACTGGCCATGGGAGATCCTATCAAAGCAGAAGTGAAACAGTGAAAGCAGAGACTCAAATCTGGATATTCAAGGTCACCCTCATACACACAGCTGTTTAGCAAGTGTGACAGTACTTGACAGAAATTCAATTCAGTTTTTAAGAAGGCTGGCATTAGAATTTTAAGCACTGTCACTTTTGCTAAACAGCTTTGTTTGCAACGAGGAGCTAAGACAAGGAGATCAGTTACAGCAGCTGCTTTCTTTTTTCATGTATTCTGAAAAATACATGTTGTTTCTTTTGCCTTATATACTAGGCAGAGGCAGACAGTGGAACAGCAGACCTCAAGTGCCATTTGGAACATGAAATACTTGAGTGTACAGGGAAGGACATGAATCTTCTGTCTGAAGCATGGAAGAGAGGAAAAGCCAACATCAATCTACACCGGTCCAGCTGAATTATAAAACATAAACAGTTTTGTGAATATAAGGGCTTCTCAACTGCTTCAGATTGTACATAAGAAAAAATGCCAGATCCTCAGAGAGTCAGTGTATTGCATTTATCCTAGTTAACTTAACCATAAAATCCAAGGTAGATATCAGTACAATGATTCATGTGATCTGTTATTGCTGGATAGGATTATCTACTGCAGAGACCTGACACTGCCATTCTTTTTATGTACATCTAATCAGCACAGCTGAGCTCTGTGCTGTCAGGTTGGAGTGCTGAAGGTGCTTAAGTTATCTGGGTTAAATATAGTTCAATAATCTTTAAACTACATAACAAACACAGCAAACATATCCAAAGAACCCCAATATCATCTTATCAATTTTGTTCTTGACCCAATCTATTGCTGGAAGCAATTATCAAGTTCCCTTATGATTACAAAGCTTCATCATTTCCTGCCTGCCCTTCTCTGCATCCCAAACAGACAAGGAAGTCAGCCTTCCTGGAAAGAATACAGAGAACATAATTTTTCAAAGGTTTTCCTTAAATATACATAATAAAACTTAAAAAGGGGTCAGGGGTAAATGGTTCAAAACTGCATGTAGGGCAAGAGGACCCCTCAACGACTGGTCCCACTGACTTCACTGAATGTCTTCTGCATAAAATGCACCGAGCAGATCCTGTGCTGAACTCGTTATCTGCGTGACTATATATGCAGAAGTGAAAAACAAGAGAGAACATGATCTGTGCACAGAATCTGGCATAGCTGGGAGGGAAATGGAGATAACAAAAGTATTTTCAGGCCCCCTTAGAAATTTTGCAATGCCATAAAGTCAGTAATTGTAATGGATAGGTACATTTGCTGGTTAATAGGTAACAAGCTAGAATGTCTCTCTAAATCACCATCTAGAAATGTTTTGAAAGAGAGGGATTGGATGGTCTATTCAGTGTATTAAGCAGGAGAAAAATCTGGCCAATAAGGCACAGTCTGTAATGCCTCAAAGAGAGGGACACACTATATGCATGAATAAAAGAGGCAGATTGTCCTTCCCTAAAACCACAGGATTGAATGGTAAGTTAAATTACCCTGAATAAGGTAAACTTGATTATTTATGTGTAATACTAGAATGCTAAACACAAAATTAATGGCAAATAACAGTTGAGAGACCTCTGGAAATACACTGTGAAAACCAAAGTGTTATTTTCAAGAACGGCAGAAAGGTAAGAAACTTTACTTTTCCTAGCAAAACAGTAATATTATGGAAATAAGACAGTGAAATGACAGAATCATTTTACTTGGTAGCACAAGTCATCAAAGCAAATTGTCATCAAAGAACTGGGATTTCATTCAGTCAGGGAGATGAAAACAAACATAGTTTCACTGACCTTAAAGACAGAAGATTTGTTTTTGCTCCTTCATGCCTGAAGATGAAACACTTCCTTGCAACTTTAAAAGGCTGAAGGGAGCAGAATAATATCTGTGATAAGAAATGTATAATAATAATAACACTATTGATAATCTAGAGACAGTAGAAGTAAAATAAACTAAATAAATGTAACATTGCTGTGAGGCTTACAAAACATTAAGCAGCAAAACCAACATAAATATGAGGGGGTTAAAAAGTGGTATCATAGCAGGGAGGTGGCAGCAGAATATTATCCATAGCTGATGGAAGAAGTGAGAAAATATGCTTTAGGTGTACCTCATACTGAAGATGGAGGACTTTTGATTATCAGCTCTTCAAACTATAATTTTGATATGTGATTTTAGAGAAGATTTACATTGCTGAGCTATAAATATTGATGAAATATTTATCTTTTCGTGCCAAGCGGCCAAATGCATTTCATGAAATCATTGAGAAATTTAAATTGAAAAAAATCTCAGGAGGTCATCTAGTCCAACCTCTTGTGAAAGCATGAAACTTTGAAAAAATGCCTGTAATGGGCTTATTTACCTGGATTTTCAGTTCATATATTGCTTTATAAGATGTCTTTTGTTTCTAAAACTTTCTGCTTTTACAATCACTTGCAGAGTTTCAACATCTAAGCATGCTCTGGTTTAGTGCCTTTGAACAGGCCCAGGCTCCTGCTGAATTATACAGATCTATCTACACAACCACACTTTCTAATCTCCTTAGAAATATGTTTCAAGACTTGTAGATCATTTAAGGGCCATCTAGCCCACACTGTAAATTGCTGAAAAGGTACTTAACTCACTAAAGGCCTTAAATATACACACCACTTCTTCTCTTGGTGTTTTTGTTTGCTTGTTTGTTTTCTTTGATGAGGGCCTGTGTGGGAAGGTGGAGGTGAGAAGATTATACAGCTCCATGTCCACTTTTCTGTGGGCTGCGACTCAGGGGGACCCAGACAGGATAGGGCAACAGGACAACAGGAATCTCATGACATTCAACAAGGACAAATGCAAATCCTGTACCTCAGACAGACTTAATGCCTGCACCGTACAGGGAGCAACTCTCCTGGCAGGGACTTGGTGAGCAACAGGTTACAGAGGAGTCAGCCTCCTGCTTTCCATGTTTTCATTGCATTATCATGTTCCAACTGCATGATCCATGTACATGAATGCTCACTGTGGCACCCTGCTCCTGTCTGGGTTTTCATAAAACAGATTGAAACTAGAGGAGTTCTTGGCCCATTTAGGGCTCAGGCCTGTACCAAACCACTGCTGGTTTGGTTAAGGGGTTAAGAGTGCCCATCACAGATGGAAACATCTCCACAAACTCAGTCTTTGACTCAATCAATTTTTTAGTCAATAAGTCACAGGATGACAGTCTCATGGGTACTTGGTTAGGCCAGGGAGAGCTTACGGTGGAAAACCATGCAAGATAACAAAAATGTTTTATTTATATCTTTTATAGCAGAAACCCAGCAGACAACATTAGGAAGACTGCTTAGACATTCAAGAGAAAATTCTCAGAACTTCATTACTTGAGGAGCAAAGATTTTGTATGAAACAGCAGTAAACCCTCTGCTGTAGCTGCTACTAACTGGCTGCAGCCACAGAAGAGTAAAGGGCTCAGTGAGCTGAGTCTGCAGCATCCCTGAAGATGTCCATGAACAATGCACCAAATGTATTCTCGGATCCAAATGCAAATCGGTTTCAAGTTAACATAATTAACGAAGGCCATGACAACAATGAAACAGCCCAAGAGGATGTGGGCTCTGACCCACCACATTATGAAGAAACATCTTTTACTGATGAAACACAGAACAGACTGAGAATCAGTTACAGACCAGGAAAAAAAGAATTATATGACAATTTCCTTCAAAATGCGGAGAAAACAGAAGCTAGTTTACATCCCTATGATACTCACACTAAAATGTATTATCTACAAACTTTTGGCCATAACACAATGGACCCAGTTCCCAAAATTGATTATTATAGAAACACTGGCAGCGTCAGTGGGAATAAGGTCAACAGACCAAGCTTATTAGAAATTCATGAACAACTGGCAAAGGTAAGTGAAAAGGAAAGATACAATTTTTCTCTATTCTATTTCCAGACTGTTAATTCTATTTATTAATATGAGAAAGTCCTTAGATTCATGGACCTTGCCCCAGAGAAAAAGTGCAAGTAATTACCATATTTCCTCTGGTAACTGCAGTCTGCTTGATGCTCTGTATCCTGCTCAAAGCAAAGATTTTTATTAAAAGGTGGTCATAACGTACTTGATTAACAGAAAAACATTGCTTAATCTTGTCTAAAAGTATGGATCTACTTAATCTCTTCTGTTCCATGTAAGAGTTAGGATGGCAGATGATAAATGTCAATTTGTAATTTAACCAGGCTACTCAATTCACACTTATTCTAAACTTGAATTTAACATCAATGCATAACTAATTTTGACAGATTCCTCCATTGTACTCATTATAAGTGTTATAAAAAAGATTATGTGCAACAAATGCAATCTCAATTAATCAGAAATCCAAAGCATTCCCTGTTTATTGCTGTAACAAACCATTCAAACTGCAGAAAAGAATCCAGAACAAGGGTGTTGAGGCTGAGGTGTTTGCTCAGAAGAGGGATAGCAGACAAGAGTTTTCAGGTGCTCATTCAGTGAATGAATTTAGGCCTTCAGGCTCATTATTCCAATGAATTTGGAAATGAATCTGAAGAGACTCTTGAATGACTGCATAGAAAGCATTTACAGGGGAATGATTTGGCTAAATTCCTCCTAATCTATCAATGGAAGAGCTGTTTAGACTTCGCTTATGTAATAGATAGGGCCATATCCATGTAAAATACACTTACAGAGAGAACTATAAACCAGAACACAACTGTCTAACCTGCCTTTGAATGATTTTGTGGAGCTGTTTCTCCTCTCCTCTAAAAGAGAGACCTATTTTTGGTTGACTCAGTGTAGGCGTTTACTATTGATATATGTGCATTTTGTGGGGAAAAAAAACCCTTCCCCTTAGCAGACTCTTCCTGTTTGCTCCATTTTTTCCACGTATACACCACAGTAAGTGAATAATGAAATACCAAAACATGCCCTCTATCATGATAATCGTCACTTTTGTCACCCCCCATGGCTACTTGCAGAAGAATAGACATTTGTCAGGTACAATCCTCTGGGGTTTGCACATTGAAAACTTCCACTGGAAAGAATTTGAAAAGTTGGTAATATTAAGTCTCAAATACCAGATTTTACTAATTTCTGTGTTACTGTCTCAGATAGGTGAATTTTGCTGTCTAGTCACCAATTTAGATATTTCAAGGCTTGATTACTTATGTGGAAAAAAACCCCAAATAGCATGGAAAGCTGTAATAAGAACTTCTATGGCAAGAACAAATAGATTAAGCACTTTGAAATGGTTAAACCACTAAAAGACCCACTACAAAACAGTGGAATAATATGTTACTCTACTAACTTTGGTAAAACTGAGACTCTTCCCTCTTAAGCCACAATACCAAGTTATCTGTAAAAAGCAGAGGTACAGGATACAGCTACTTTCAGAATCAAAAACCTTTTTTGAGTTTCTTAACTGTGCACTGATCATGGCAGGGCTGGAGAGAGATCACTGCTATAGTCCAGCTGAGACTAAAAGTGTCACTATGCAGCAAAAATCCCCATTATTTTTTCTGTGTTGGACAATTGTGAAATGAAAAATCTTGAAAGAAAACAAGCTCTCATCTCCATTCCACTCAGTTTTATATACTTCTGAGGCCTGAATGATTTAGACAAGCATCTGATTTTGGGGTTCTGGTCCAGATCTTGTTCAGACTTTCACTCTCTGGAGATTCACCTGTCCTAAGGAGGGTAATGTAAAATAATGAAATCAAGAAAAAAATTAGCCATTAGCAAATTAGGACCTGATTCTTTAGGATCTTATTAGGACAGGTTCCTAGCTTTGGCCTAACTTACTTCAATTAAGGTCTCCACAGACCTGTCTAAAATGGCTTACATGGACATGAGAAGCATTTCCAAAGACGAATGCAAAGTGGATATAAAAGGGAAAAAATATGAATTTGGTACCTGTATTCATTTGCAGATGTACAAACCACTACCCAAGAGACTAAGCACATTTCTATGCCCAGAAGAAAGCTTCCTCTTATAGAAATAATTTACTTCAGTTGTGGCCAGAGAGGAGTAAAACAGTGTCTTGGCTTTGAACATACTGCTGAATGATCATGTACTGAACATGAGCATATTAAGGAATTTTCAGTTTTGATCATAACCAGAAAATTTTTACTGCTGCATCTCTCAAAGCTTTGTGTATTTTAAACAAAATTAGATAACTTTGTTTAGGTTTTTTTAAGGCTTTCACTTAGAGAAGGTTAAAAATAAGACAGATGACATCACAGAATAAAATGGAGAATTGCTTCACGGGTTTTTTTGGGACTGTTAGGGAAGAGAAAAGAGCATCATCTAACTTGGTCATTTACCAACTTTTTCAAGTATTCAGCTTACAGGAGGATAATCTTATGCCTTTCAAAACAGGAAGGTGAATGTCAGAGGTAATGGGATTTTTGTTACACTGGCAACCTGCTGTGCCCTTATGTGAGCTGTGGCCCTGGTGTGGGAGCCACTGCCCACAGCCCTGGAACAAACGAGGCGCCATTAGCAGGGCTGGAGTCTGGGCCTGCCTGTCCCACGGTCCCCCTTGGTGACCTTGGGCAAATCACTTTGGTCGCCAGAGCCTGTTCTGAAGGATAAACAAACACAAGGTCATCAAATAGCAGATTAGTAGGGAAGGGAATTAGGATGGTGTGAAAAGGCAGAGCTCCTCTCAGGAGGAGAGGATATGTATGAGCAGCTGGATGGGGGCTCTGCCTGCAGCCCCTGCCTGCAGCAGGAGCTCTGGTCACCAGCAAGGAGGGGACGAAATGCTCCATTGAGCGGGTACAGGGGTTACACAACAGCCCGAGGTGCAGTTCTGAAGAAGGTTCTCTATTTTACTGTATATAACACTAAAATCTGGGTTTACCACACTACACCCCAAGGCAATCCCGCCCCCCTCGCCCCCAATTTGAAACTCAAATTGTTGAAGACAACTCTGCTGTCAAAAGCCCATTGCCCAATTCTGATAAGAAGTGGCATATGTTTGACTTCAGATTGCTAAACATCACATAAGCGTTCCCATTGTGCTTTGATGCTGGGCTTCACATCAGAAGATAAATATTAATATTTAATACATTTTTTTAATATGCAATTTTTCAAATGTCAGAATGTAAGGCAGGCTGAAAGGAACTTCAAATACCTAGTTTCCACACTGCTGGAGTCAAATGTGTGTCATCTTTTAGCAAGACATGTCAGTTTTTCGCACATATTAAGCCACAGATCGCCAATTAAATCCCTAAAAAATAGTCTAAGTGCTACTTCACAGTTGATGGCTGGTGATAATTACTTGGGCTTAATATTTACCCTACATAAGAAATAATCTAACCTTTCTTCCTCTTGGCTGTTCTCCACACTTGTTATGGAGACTTGATGAGCTCATCATCTTTAGCCCCAGGAGAGATGAAGACTAAACCATTCTGAAACAAGGAAAGGAAAATGTTTGGGTTAGTTCTTTTTTATTTTTTTTGTTTTAAGCACTTAACTTTTTATTTTAGTAGCTTTTCAAAATGTTCTGTCACTTTTATTCCACATCCTTAATGCATGAGTAGCACAGGTACAGCTGCTTGGTAAATAACCAATCATTCACTAAAGCACACCAATTTAAAATGCATTTATGGAAGGTTTAAGGCCATAATTTATGATAATGGCACAGAGAGCACAAATTAATTCAAAGTACAGAGGAAACAACTTGTTTCAAGTACAAAGACCAAACCCTTTTAATTTTTTTGTCTTTGAAATTCTAACCACTGTAGCAAAAAAACCTCATATTATTCTACTGATCTTCCTTAACTCTCTTTAATCATTTACCATATTTTGAGCAAACACAGCCATTATTATTTCAGGGTAAGAATTGTCAAATGTATCTAAGTAACTCAGGAGCTCAAAGTCACAGGCTCTCAATAGATCTTGTATTCCCATTTCACTTAGGACCAACAGGGCTGTAGCCACCAAGTTTAGTCCATGTCAAAATGTATTATCAAGTCACTTATTTCTCATTTGTGAGCACAGTCCTGGATTTACTGTGTCAAAGGCATTCTACAGCCTTGCACCATCATGGCTAGAGCCCCCATCCACGAGGGGCAAGTCCAGGCATTGGTGTAAAAGGCATATTCAGTTGGCCTTTATGTCTGTTTTGGGTTTGTGTGTTGGGTATTTTTAAGTTAATGGACAAAATACAGAAACAGCCTTAAAGTCAAGCAAGATGAAAAATCTCACGTTTCACAGAATTACTGATGTTTTTCCTCCTTGACCTGCTTAGTTAATCTGGAAATATCTTCATTAATCTCCAAACCCTAAAAGCACCTTGATTCCTCTCCAGAAGTGGTACCCACTCCTGACTCTGCCAGACTATGGCAAGGGGCACAGTCCTTCCTGAAGGCCTTTGCAGAGGACCCAGAAAATATCTGGCAATAGCTAACCTAATGCCAGCTCCTCCCAGAACCAGTGAGAGCTCTGAATAAGATAAAAATAGAAATTAAAAGCAGCAATGACAATGAGTATAAACCTCAGCACCATGACTAATTCTTATTCAAGACACAAGAAACATATCATGGTCCTAAATTGCCTCAAAGATTCTGGGGCAGAAGAGCTGAAGAGATAAAATACAGATTCATATCTGTAACTGGATGTGAACAGTCCAAAATTCTGGGCTGTTATTCTGGTTATACCACAAATACAGCAATTCCTAATCCTATTTGCTATGGTCATACCAGAGGTGGCTAAAACACAGAAAGGATTATTCATTTACTACATTTCACTGGCATTTCTCTAACTGTTTTCAGGAATATGTTACCCATCTGCTGCTGCAGTTATGTTTGTACTTTATCCAACAGAAAACACTGGAGTTCATCACATAACTTCACCATACAGCACTCAGTCTCTTTTCAGTAGTGAGCAATTATCTCTCCTTCTACACTTGGAGTTATTCAGAAATTGTTGCAACAGCATTCAGAGGCCAACCAGGAGCCTCTCATTATCTTAGATGCTCTACTAACATATCAACACAACATGTCTGTGGAATAGTTCACAATAAAAACACTTGAGTACAGCTAATAATGTGTTTACTCTGCTTAAGCAGTTCTTTCATGTTTTCTCCTGTTAGCAAGCCCACCTGCTGACGCCCGGTGTAAGTGGAATATTGCTCTCTACTCCAGAGCAGTAAAACCTGATCTTCTTTGGAATTCCCTTCTCCTGTGTCTCTCTTCTGCAGCCAGGTGTCCTCTGCTTGGCACAAAAGTGTGTTTGTTTTCTGTGTGATTCTCCAGAACATCGCTGTGAGCACTGGCTCGGTGGAGAGAGTGGCTAATGGAGAGAGCAGCGCCGGGGATGAGACAGCAGCCAGCAAGGAAGAGGAAAACAAAGCAGGATTTGTCAAGTTCGGATGGGTGAAGGGTGTGCTGGTGAGAAACTTACCCGCACTCCTAAACAAAAAAATTAAAAGCAAATAAAAACAGTTCTGTTACACTTAGGTCTTTTAAGAATTAAGAGAGGGAGGTGGACTTCAGGGACGTTTGGGGTGTTTTTTAAAAGCCTGAAATGTACTCTATCACTCTTTTGATTGTTAACACTACTTCCAACATTGCACTAATGCAGTATTTTTTCTTTAAAACCTAGGTAAGATGCATGCTTAATATTTGGGGTGTGATGCTCTTTATTCGACTTTCCTGGATTGTAGGTCAAGCAGGAATTGGTATGTATCTTATTTAATATCATTTTCAACAGTGAAGGGATAAAGAGGATAAACTATACATGATCATGATTAATATATAATCTGAGATGTGCATTTGCATGTTGAACTAAATAATGTTTTCAAATGCTTGCCAGGGTAAAAGACATTAATCCTCCAAACTATTGGAATTTTCCAGACTCACAGCCAAATTACTGCTCAGAGGCACAGATCTGTTAACTATGCATATGATCATCACATTTGAATATTTCTAAGCTTTAGTGAAATTTGTATTTAGATCCTGTAACAGATGTAAACTTTATGACTTGGGCCAATTTCTAATATGTGAGTACAGAGTTAACCTTTAAGAGTTCACACTTTGCTTATCTGTGAAACCCAAACCTTGTCATCTACATATTAAAAACAACACTTCTTCACACTTCTCTGCAAGGATGAAAACAGAACTGGAAGGAGGTCTCATCTCATCAGGATTTTGTTATTTTTAACTACGGAACAGTACTAGATACTAGTGTACTATGAAAGACTAAGTTTAAAAAGCTCTGCTGCAGCTTTCATATTAACTAAGTACACTTCATTATGTGCTGTATCTTTGCTTCTTCATTGTGCGATTTAATTAATCCAAATTCCAAATGCCAGTCCCTGGGAGACTGGGCCCCGAGGCCTCCATCCAGTACACTGCTGAGTGTTCAAGGAAAAATAGTGAGAGGAAAGTGCTCACAATGCTGCAAGAACCTCCAGCACTACAAGAGCAGCTCACTGAGATGCAATTTCTGTGTGGTACAACTGCCTTTTTAGAGCAGCTGCTCTGGGGAAGCACAGAAACATGACCTGCAATGGCACTGTCACTCTGTGATCCATGATCCTGCAATCTGGAGTGTTGGGGCCCTAATCTTGGACTGGCACCCAGATGTTACAAAAAATGCAATCCAAAGGCGTGATGGCAAGTATTCCAGTTTGGATGCTCACAGAATGGAAACATTAAGTAAATTAAGGAGCGTCAACTCTGCTGGGCTTGGATAAAACTCAGTGCTCAAAATCAGATCGATATAAATATCATTCACTTCCCTGTTAATGGAAGTGAAATGAAACACTGAATTGAAACATTGCCAAAATTTTGCATAGTTGAAGTCTCATTTCCAGTAAAATACAGTAACTTCATAGAAGTTTCATTGGGCAAGACTGAGCTTTTAAAAAACGAGTAACGAAGGAAACTCTTGTTAAGAAAAAAATCCAGCCACAAACTTAGAGAAACACAAATGGAAACAAGAAACCCGACAATGAAAGATCCAGAGCTAAGCGGAAGAACTTTAGTACTTGTGCAGTGCTCCATGCGTGGCTCCAGCACTGTGCCTGACAAAAGGGTGCTTGCTGACTTTATGATGCATACCAAATGAGCACGTACAGCCCAGGGCACTCATAACTATATGCCTTGCCATGAAATTTCTGCATCTTAATATTGCCAAGACTTCGCTCTGGGGTTTCATGCAAAATTAGTTTTTAAGGGCAGTTTAGTAACTTATTGAGATCATCAAGAAGTATTACTTTGTTTTGAGGTGTGAGAATAGCCATGGGCAAGAGTAATTCATTTTGGAACAACTTACTTAGGAGTCATATGCCTGCTTTTCAATCTAAACTTTAATCAGATTTTTAACATTAATTTGCACCAACATCAGTTACAACCTTTCTGCTCTCACTTTTAATTTTATCATTTTAACTCATTGATAAGCAGACTCTCTTGCCTTATAGTTTATTGCTCTGCTGTTGCTTTTTAAAGTTGCATGTGTTATGCAAGGAGGTTGGTTTTACTGAAAATGAGACGTCAAATTCCATTTGAATAATTTCTCATTGCATTTTCTGAATGTCTTATTAGCAGTGAGCTTTAAGTCCCTAGCCAAGCTGCTTAAGGAGAACAGTGATGGAAGCTCATCATCACCAAGGCTCAGGGATTTCACTGGGTACTGCTACTAACATGGAAATTAAATGAGTCAGTTAAACCACCATCTGGGCACCATTTATATCCCCATCATTAGAGGGCCAAAGAGAGCAAACCCAATTATTTCCATATCCTGATAGGCTGTCTTGGGCAGAAGCTCTTACAGGGAGGACAAAATAACATTCAACGAAGATCTCTGTTTATCATAAGCTGGGAAAACGAGGACAGTATGGTCCTGACAAGATTCCAGGTCCAAAACTAGTCTGGTATTTTCACCTCACATCTGGGGATTCCATGTACCTGGAATGCTTAGCCAAAGGAAGGGAAAAACACCAAGTTTATGTTACCTGAAAATCTGGCCCTGACTATTACAATTATGTTATATTATGTTATATGATAATGGTTTGGTTGAGTCATTTTATTTTATGCACTTTTCTTCCTAAATCCTACAATATTTTTTAAAAATTAACATAGAAGTCATTCCACGAAGCTGTTACTATCAAGTTAGCAACCCTACATATCATATACATGTTTACAACGTGAATTGTGAAATGCAATAAAACATCCTTAAAAAATACTGCTTAGAATGTTCATGCACTTAACAAATAATTTTGAAACTACTTTTAGAATAATATGTGTAACTTATTCAATTTCAGAGTTAACAGCTGATTAAAAATCACGTTCAGCCACTTCTCAGACACAAAATTTGCATGGTTTAACCTTCTGTGTAATGGCAGCTGACCAAAAGGAATGACCATCTGGATCTCTTTTTATACAGACCTGCATACAAAACAGCTGCATGATTACTTAGAGTTCAGAAATCAATAGGATAAACACAATTTATTAGAGGCTCAAATCACTTTGATTATCCTACACCATGTTATATATCATTTATGTCTTGCATATGACATCATTCTGTCTTAAAGGACTGTGATAACATGGCTATAATTTAAGTAGCAAAGAACATTCACTCAGGGACTGGATGGCTTCAACCATCCAGTATGAATTCAAGTCAGGAATCTGATCTGGAAGCCAGAAGGTAGAAATAAAGCAGGTAAATCAATAGGTTTGTAGTACTTCTAGCTCAATCTTAATTGTCAGATCCAAGTTTCAATCTGGATGACCCCTGGTCAATAAATATTGCTACAGGCAATGTATATTCTCCAGTTCCACACGGAACACCTACACACCTCACAGAGACAAGGCAGATAGTGCATAAGCCTTAGCAAGTTGAGATACAACTAAAAACTGATAGTTAACAGAAATCTGACCATATAACCAAAGACTGGAAACATTCTCAGATATCAGAGCATAACTTAAACTAAAACCCAGTTCACCTGTAACTAATCACCTATCACTGCTCTTCAGATGTTTGATTATTTCTGTTAAATTACACAAGTTCGTGATATCAGCTAAAAAAAAAGAAGAATATTATAAGTTCTCTAAGATTACAGGTCACCTGTTAAATTAAATGGCATCTAAAAAGCAGTATTTCCATTTTCAAGTGTTTGTTCTGGGTTAGACTAAAACTCCTTTTTTGCAGGGAAAGAGGGAGATGAGGACATCACTCAGGTTTTGTCTCTCTGCCTGACTGACTCTTTGCCCTGGTGCTCTGTGAATCTTTCTCTGACTCACTATTTAATTATCTGATGAAAGACAGCAGCATTCTTACAAGAGCTCTGGTTAATGTGTCAGTCTCCTCATTTAAACAGCCAGGATGCTTGTTAAAGGTATAAGTTAAAAGTATAAAGATATAAGTATCCATGTCAAGGGACACTTGTTTGTTCATTTCCTCCAGCTTTTGAAAATCATGAGAATTCTGGCTAGGGTACTCCTATCACAAAGAATCACTGCTTGAAGACTGATGGAAATAATTTACTACTGTGTCATGGCCTCCATGAAAATGTTCTGCAAGCTGCAAGTGGTCAACAAACCATCTTTTCAGTTTATTGCTCTGATTCTGGCCTGAAAATTCAATTTAAAGAGAGAATGATTTGTAGGAAACATAGAACTCGAGTAAAATATTTTATCTTCTTATTACTGACAGGTCTTGGAGTAATCATAATTCTCCTCGCCACGATGGTAACCTCAATTACTGGGTTGTCAACTTCTGCAATAGCAACTAATGGGTTTGTCCGTGGAGGTAAAAATCTTAGGGTTACCAATGCTTTCAAGCCCAAAAAGATATTTATGTATTATTTCCATGTGAGACAAACCAGAGGGACGATAAACCAAGTGGTACCTCTAAAGGAACTGGAAGGTAACAATTCTAGCCACCTCTCATCACAATTTAAGGCACGTTTGGGTCGTCACTTTTAAGAAACCCCAGATTTCAGTTCAGTCTGAGAAGTGCATTTCAGGTGTTCCTGCCTGCTGTGAGCGAGGGATGGCTGCTGACTTTCCAGGGAGCTCTCTTACCTTTCAGCTGGTCTTTCCTATTCAGAGCATTCCAGGTTGGACATCCTTCAACAAACTGAGCACGGAGACACCTCTTCCTCTCATTTTAAACACTGATGCACATCAGTGGATGCCTTCAGTTTAATGCCTTCTTTATAACACTCCTTACGTTTCAGCCACTCCTTGGAAGACAAGTAAATGAGTTCGCTGTAAAAGTGCATGTCAGGTATTTTATGAAACAAATTTCTAGTGCATTTCAGAGCCTTTAAGTTCTATCTGGCCTGGTCTAACCCCTGTGGAAAATGGCAAGTTCTAACTACGTCATTTAAGCAGAACAGGTACTGGAATACACTTGAATATACTTTCTTTTTCGGATCTTTCAGGTCTTGGAATCATAGTTATTGCTCTGAGTGTAGTAGTAACAACACTGACATGTATCTCCATGTCTGCCATTTGCACTAATGGAGTAGTAAGAGGAGGTAAGTGAATATGCTCTCATGAAAAACAAATGGAATTGAGATAACTGTGTTATAAGCAAAGAAATAATAAAGAAATATATTTGGAGTGATTTCTTTCAGTGGATCAACAGCAAATAAAAATGTATATAAACTTAACGCAAAAAAAATTAAAGATTCATTGCATCACTATGCAGGAGCTTAAACAATATACCACAGAATACGATCCTTCATGCTAACACTGCGACAGATCCATGTAAGTTAGAACCTGTCTGGAAGTGAGGTTCTCTCTCCTTTGTGTTATTATATTATGTATCATGCAAAATTATAACAAGGTCCAGTTTTGCATGCTAAAATGCACTAAGAGATTTCTGCAACAGAGGGCAGAACCAGCACAAAGCAGATTGCTTTTCTATAAGCGTCCTCTATCAACACAGGGCAAAGCTCAGTTATATTTGTGAGGCTAAAAGCACAGATTTCTGCAGTAATTCTTATGTGGGGGGGAAAAAAAAGCAAAACCTGAGCATTTAGTTATGCCAAAATAACAATCATTTCTGTCTGCAGGTGGAGCATACTACCTTATCTCGAGGAGTCTGGGCCCAGAGTTTGGTGGATCTATAGGACTTATCTTCGCCTTTGCCAATGCAGTGGCAGTTGCCATGTACGTAGTTGGATTTGCCGAAACAGTTGTGGAACTTCTTAAGGTAAATGCAGATGTTTTATGCATATGGTTAAGTTGGTTTAGGTTTTTTGTGTTTTGTTTTGCGTGGCATTTTTTCTTTTTTTAGGGGGCGGTGTTTGTTTAACGCAATGTATTTGTTTAAGTGGTGGTACTTTTTAGCTGAGGCTTGAGGGACTTTTTTAGCAGGGAAGAAGCTGGTGTATCTTAACATGCCACAGAGTGCTTCTCCATTATTTCTACCTTCTGAATACATTTCATACACTTCTCGACAAGAATCTCAGAATCAGAAAAGGAACAGACATCTAATTAGACAGCCAAATAACCCCAACTGCAAAAGGCCAGCTGGAACACAAAATACAAACACTTGGTCTCATAAATCTCTGCAACCTTGACAGCTCACTGCTCTCTGCTTCACCTTGTTACTTGATCCCACCAGTTGGGCAGAGAAATACTGGTTCTATTAACATTTCTCACTGCTTTCAGGAGAGCGATACTCTGATAGTAGATGAGTCCAATGACATCAGAATCATAGGCACCATAACTGTTGTCTGTCTTCTCGGCATCACTGCTGCTGGCATGGAATGGGAAGCAAAGGTAAACCTTTAAAAGAACATTAAAGCAAGTGGTATTTTAGCCTACTGTAGAGCATTTGTGTGTGAGGAATGCTACACAACAGGTGGAGTTTTCAAAGGCACCCAGTTTCAGTTTATGCTTAATCTTTCTAAAAGCAAGAGCAGTTTAATCATTACATTCAATGAAAGCACAATTACTCCACACTCTTCCTTGAACATACATTTAAAAGCAAAGAGGAAGTTTGTGTTCTGCAGACAGCTTGGTTATATTGATTTTTATAATTCATGGCTTCATTTAGAGCCTTGGCTAAGTGCCCCTTTTGCCCTTATTTTTGATGCAGTTTGACAGAATAAATAGTAGTAAAATATTGTTTTATCACTGTACTCTTTCAAGCCCTACTCAGCAGAAAATCTCTATTTGCTACCCATTCCTTAATCTCTAATGATTTCTGCTATTCCCTCACCTGTAAAAAAAGGTCAGAGTGCAAATTCAAATGGAAATACTTTAGAGAGTGTAATACAGCTATTGAAATCAGGACCAGAAAACAGATTCTACAGCATCCTTATTTTTACATTCTGCTATGATGGAGACTAGAACTACTTGTAAAAGAGATCAGAAAACAATTTGATATTACAACCCTTGAAGTCACAACTCACTGCAACTAAACAAATTTTATAACAATATAAAAATGTCTTATACTTGATATTAATGCATTACTGTTCCATTTTGCCTTTCCTTGTAAAGAAACTAACATAAAGTTAAATTATAACTACATATTTCATTACCCCCTTAGTGAAAAATATCTGCTGTTGTCACTAGCTGATTCAGCTATCTTGATTCCTGGTAGTTTTGAAAACTATAGAAATTAATAACCTGTCATAGGGAACACATACAGATAACTTACTATATAGCCATCTCCACAGCAGCAAAAATTAAAACTAAGAGGAAAATCTTTTTGCTTCTATTAATAGGCTCAAGTTTTTCTTCTATTTGTTCTCCTTATTGCCATTGCAAACTTCTTTATTGGGACAGTCATTCCTACCAACACCGAAAAGAAGGCAAGAGGCTTTTTTAATTACCAAGGTAAGCAACCCTGCTATCACAAAATTATGTTTGCATTCTTTTGGCTTAGTAGTAAGTTAAGGATTCCACTGGAAAAGGTCACAAGATCAGAATCTTCTGCCCAAGTTTAAGTGAGCTTGCAAACAAAGGGAATTTCTTTCATCTTTAATTTTGAGTCTGTCTCTCTGCTGCTGAAGTTGACAGCACGGTAAGCTGCAGCTTGAGTCATTTATACATCAGCAGAGCACAGACAAACTTGAACACAGACCTAAGTGCAAGTGCTGCAGTGACACTTCTGTCACTTCAATATGGCTCTGCAGCTCTGAGATGCAGACAAGCACATCCTACTGGGGACCAGACTGAGGAAATCAAATTCACTTTGCTTATGATATAAGACAGATTCAAACCCAATCTTCCAGATGTGAAAGACTGGCTTGTTCTCCTCCTTCATTAAGTAACTTTGGAATCAAATCCTGGTGGTATATTTCATTTTCACCTGTATTTGCAGCATCAATATTTGCAGAAAACTTTGGACCAGATTTCAGAAGTGGAGAAGGATTTTTTTCGGTGTTTGCCATTTTTTTCCCAGCTGCCACTGGCATTCTTGCAGGAGCCAACATCTCAGGAGATCTGAAAGTACGTATTTCATTAACTTCATAATACTGTCTGTAGGCTGAAAAAAAGAACAAAAAAACAAATCATGAATCAACACTGTATTCAGTTTTAAACCATGTTTTATTTTGGGAAGAAAAACTTTCACTTTTAAAGTACCTATTTTATTAATTGAAAATATCAGTTCACATTTTCTCTCATAAGCATTGTGGCTATTTACAGAAAACACTGCAGTAAGATTTGGGTTGTTGTGTCATTTAAAAGCATGTTTCAATAACCTGTAATAATATATCAATAATGGTCCATTAGCAGCACATTACATAAGAGAAATTACTTGTTTATCTCTTGGAGTTTGTATTTTGTAAGCATCAATCCAAACATCAACCCAAAAATCATACCTGTAAAGCTCATGTTTGTACTCGCAGGAATTGGCAGAGACCACCTTTTGTATTCAGGGTCAAAGCAAGGGCAGAGCAAACAGGGCATTTAATGAAAGCAAGTTTGTCCCAATCCCATGTCACTACTGCTGCTCAAAGGAAAAGCTGCAAGTCTGCAGCTGTGACAAAAGAAAAGAGTATGAAGAGAAAGGGGAAGGAGGTCCAAGAGTGACCAACTGTCTTGCTGTGGCCATTCTGTCAGTTCCCCACTCTCCTCTTGCCATTAGCAGTTGTAGGGGATGGTATTTCCAGCATCTAAAATTACAGGTAAATTAGAGACTGGGATTTAGTTTCGAGTGCCCTCTAGTTTCCATGGCAAAAACATCCAACCTGCCCCAAAATTAAAAAGAAAAAAAAAAGTCACCAACAAGATGTCCCTCTCAGCTTGATAACCCCAGTATGTCAAAAGAAGTTATTTGGCCTTCTAATATAAATCCATTGCCTTGGATATCCTAAGGATTCATCCAAAGGTCTGTTATATCTGTATTGGCAGAGGAGTCACAAGTTGACCACATCCTACCACACCTGACAGCCAGTTCTTTTTCCCTTCCTCACACTGAGCTGATGCCTCATCTCCTTTGTTTTCAAAGGACTTCTTTTCAAGCCAAGCACAGAGAGAACTACATTGAAACTGAGCCACTGATAGTGTTAGTGAGATTCCAGTTTTAATTAAAAAAACCAAAAATCATTGTACTTCTGCCCAGTGAGACTGAATCAGCCTCACACAATCTCCATCCTTTTAACAAACAAAAATAATTCTTTTGCCAAATATGGTGCTCTCTCTACATGGCAGCTCCCAAAGCAGCAGCACTTCTTTCACAAGCTGTTAGAAAGAATCTGAGCACACTGAGTTCTCCCCTTGGATCTCTGCAGTTGTTTCAGTTTGACAATAAGTGGATTTCTATAAGCAAGTCCTCCAGGCTGCAGATTCCCCACTGAGCATGTTTAGATGCATTAGACAGGTCTAATTAAATTAACCAGCCTCTCCAGAAAGCTAAAAGACAAGCTAAGGAGTGTTCAAAAAGTGTAATATTGACCAACCAAACTTTCTTTAGAATTTGTTGCAAATACATTCATACATGCTCCTGCAGCCACTACATAATCAAATTGTGTCTTAGTCCAAAGCCTACTTACAAACACAAATAGTCTTCCTGGTGACTTCAGTAGGGTTTGGAGTAGCCCCTAAAGTGCTAACAACATAGCAAATATGTGTTTAATTTAAAAGTTGTAAAGCTGTAAGAAGACTTAACCCTAAGATTTAATGTTACAGAGTTTAAGATAACCACATTAGACTCTAGATGACCTAAAATATGCACACCAGAACTGCATGAAGTTGCCATGGTCTGAGAGCAAAGGGTGTTAAATGCAGATCAAGTGACTTCACAACTATTTTTCAGCTCAATAAATCTTTACCTCATTTTAAAATTATATTAATTATTAACACAGTTAAGCTATTCATCCATGTTTCACGCTGTTTTTAACCATGCAATGACCATATTTATAAAAAGTCTGTGACTTAAAATGAATTCAATGCATTTTTGATTTAGAAAACCTCACTAAAGCAACTTAAGAAGACAATTAATAAAAAATGCTCCCTAGCATAAACAAACACACCCTAAATTGTAAGGTTATCTAGCATTAAAAACCCCTTTAAAATGTACAATGCATATCTTTGGACTCAGAGTTGCATGATTGAAGCCGATATTGTTGTGATCTAGTCTGTAAGCATTATAACCCAGCCTTATTAAATTATCTAAATTAAAAGTCAAAACAGTGAAAGAAAGTAGCTGTTGTGAAGACCCAACTAACAATAAGTAATTGCTAATCACAGAAGTACTGTATTCTGTACAGGGTCACTGCCTCCATCTCACCAATTAACCAAAAGCGGTCCCATCTTGTCATCCACAGGAGTTTGCTGGTTGGTGCAGTAACTATTTACTGATTACATCGTTAAACATTAAAATAAAGCCAACTACAATGTAAAGAGAGTTTGGAGCTCTCAGAAATGCAGAGATCAGGACCCTCCTGCTGCAATAAACCTGACTTCTGCTCCTGTAGAATATCCTTCACTGTGTCCAGGACAGGAGCACTGCTCCACAGGACCACTTCACACTCTCTGTGTGCTGGGACCTGAAATGTTGTTGTAGGTCAAGTGATAAAAACCTACCCTCTAAGGGCATCTCCACACCACAGTGTGGCAGGACTCCCAGCATGCAAATGCCATCAGACTGCAGCCCACAAACTCACAGCATCTGTCGTGTCCCTGCTTTGCTTTAAGGATCCCCAGAGCGCGATACCCAAGGGGACAATGCTGGCCATCGTGATCACCACCATTGCTTACATTGCCGTGGCCATTTGTGCAGGTGAGTACAGAACCTCTGCTCCAGGGCTTCACTTGTACAGTTCAGCTTGGAAGCTCGGCATGCAAATGAATGATTAACCTCACTGCTCTTTCATCCTGTGAACTTATGACGTAGAGAGACAGTAGTTTTGATTTTACCGTATGTAAAAACAGTGAGGGGAAAAAGAGCAGCAATCAGCAGAAACAAAAGTGTCTTTTTGGCAGCTGGACCTTCATATAACTTGTATGGTTACTTTTGCTGACAAAGACCACTAGCATATAGTATCCATGAGCAAAGTGAAGATGAAAGGAACCTCTGATCAATCTGCTGATCTTCTGTTCCTTGCTCACTGACATTTCACATGGCTTCTGCTTGCTCTCACTAGTCTTACTGAGCACTCATGAGAATCACAGAAACAGGGTAACACATTTTATATGTCATATGTCAAAGACAGAAATCGGTTGCCTGTCTTATAGAAGATACACAACTCCATGCTCTGCAGTATTGGAATGTGAGGTGACAACAAAATGGACATGAATAGAAAGGAGACCTGTACTGAAGCCATGAACTGTTGGAGGATTATGCAGTTAAATCCTCATTATAAGCAGACAATAAATCCCTGGTCAAGAAAAATATTTTTCTTTATGTATTTAATACTACTGTAAAAAAGAGGATTGTAAATGACACCTTTTCTTATAAGCAAATACCTCAATACTGTATGAAAGCCCTGCAGAGTACTTCCTTTTCTGGGAGATGACTCTCAAGTCTTCTTGACTTTTGTTGTTCTTGTACTTTATGCAAAAGGCAGAATGCTTGACTCAAGCCTCAGCTCAGGTCATTGCATTATTTGGATCTAAATTTCCCCTGCAATTTAAGTTGAAGTAGTCATTCTTCATTTTCTATTATAAATTTCCTTTCTATTATAAATCACTGTTGTTTGTTTGAGAACATTGCTCTGTTCTCACAAGCAATAGCTGCATTTCAAATTCAGAGCTGTGTATTTTTCAGGGAAGTTTTTTTTTTTTTTCTTGTTTGCATATTGGTTTCCTAAATAGATAATGATTATTTTGGGACTCTCAGTGTTTTTGACATATTTGAAGTTATCACAAAAACATTTTGGCCACTAAAGATGTTGAGATCAGCACTCCAAGTTGCCTCCATGTGTTTTTTCTTGTCTCTGGTGGCAAGCAAATAAAGACAACATAAATATCAATAAACACAAAAAGAATATAGGCAATTTCTCCTGTTTTTTTCATCACATTCGTATCAGTAGGGCTGAGGATCAGGGTCTCTAAAGCAACTGCTTAACCTTATTAAACAAAAAAATGTGGATGATAGACCTAAGAACCTCACAGACCTGTTTCATTTGAATACTGGTACTTGTAAAAGTAGTGACAAGAAGACAATATACTTTCTGACTTAGTCAGTTTATTGTTGATCTCTGTCTTGTCACATCTCAGAAATATGCTAATCCTCACTAGTCAACTGGCTGATTATTCTAACAGTAACAGAAAGGAATATTTGCCTACAGACACCACGATAATCTAAGTCATAGAGCAGGGTAGAAATCTCTGCTCAAACACAAAACACTGCTCTTGGGATGAGTCTAAGGTAGCAGTTGTACAAAATGTGTGCAGATTAAGAGTCAAATGGCAAGAACATTCTTCCAATGTCACAAGGAATGAAAATAATAATATATGATTGTTTCCACAGCCTCCTGTGTTGTACGAGATGCTACTGGGAACATCAACGATACAATTGTACCTGGAATGAGCTGCAATGGATCATCTGCCTGTGGCCTAGGCTATGATTTTTCCAGATGTGCAAGTCAGCCATGTGATTATGGGCTGATGAATAATTTTCAGGTTCTAATGACATAACATTTATAACCATAAGCAATACTCGAACGCATAAGTACAAAGATTCAAACCCGTTATTTACAGACAACTAACTGCAACAGGACAACCACTTTTATCTAAAAAAGGAAAGAACTACAGGAATAATGAAAGGCAAAAATCCCCTGCATTCCACATTTCCTTCATACTGCTCATCACTAGCCTTCCTAGCACTCTGGTAAAGTCTTCATTTCCTCTTTCAACAAGTCCCATGCAGCAGTATATGCTGTAACATCTTCAAACTGAAAGCCTAGACTTAACAGAGACCTCAGGAACTATTAGATGAGCAACTCACCTCACTGCTCTTGACACATGGATGTGATTTTACCTCAGGGGTGCTGTGGTCACTGTTAAAGGTTTGTGTCACAGTACAAAAAACAGAGTTCT